AGGGTCAAAAATGGTTTCAGCAGGGAAAATCCGAGGAACGCGACTATAATAAAGATATCTTTATTAGAGCAAAATACCCAAAGAATTTTTATTTTGAGAATAAGTAGCACTCAGTAAATGACATGGTTAGAATAAATAACATATCACAGCCAATGATTTTGAAGCAACCATTCAGACAGCTCATCATCACTGTCGCCAGTGTCCTTAATTAAAAAAGGACATATTTCCTAACTAACCGGTGTTATGGGCGGTTAAATTTTCATTTGTGGACAGTCATCGTCAATTACAGTCCTACACGCACGTTTGAAATTCACGTTTCTGTAAATATTTCTTACATAAATGTTCTTCAGTATAGACAAACCCAGTTAGCGTTGACTCTGGGCGCCTTGCAGATAACTGCCCCACTTTCTACAGTGTGCCTGGAAGAAATGGTAGCTGGGAAGCTTTCTGTAGCTGGTTCAGTTCAGCCATGAACTAATGTCTATAGTTCGATTTATGATGCACGTTTTCTAATAGACTAATTACGCAAAATTGACTCAGATGGGTTCTAATGTGAGCTAAGATCTTGCGTCACGTTGTTAATACGAGTTGCACTGAGGTTGTATTGAAAATTTCATTACCTCACTGACACATCAACTGGCTTTCCAAGAATTTTACTGGCAAATTTTGCACACCAGTCCATTTTCGCAAATGCTGTCTTAGTTTTTACATTTTAGACAGACCTATTGAGACTTGTGGTAGGGGAAATTTTCCCGCTCTTATTCCTACTTTTTATACTAAGAATAGATTCTAAGTAACCAAGTCACTGGTGTCTTATAGTTTAGATTTGCACTCATTGTTGACTCAGTGACACCCAGTCTCCTTCAAACATTATTCTGCGATGGATCTATGCGCCATCTGTGAATATTCTAGTTAAACATATCTGGTTAGATAAAAAGCGTTTGAGTACAACCTAGTACCGCCTTATCCCAATATACTGTAGCGTTTAAAATTTATCTTTGATGTAACAGCTTAGCAAAGTAGGTCGTAGGTCTTTTGTCAGCCTATAGCCTCCAAAGCCTCAGGATGGTCGGGGGGTGGGTGCCTTGCGCTGCGGGTTGGCCACCCCTCCGCACACTTCTTGAAATGCTCCCATATGACCGGGCGTCTTACATAGCCTCTCCTGAGGAAGTCCTACTCACCGCCTTCACGTGGCGGAGGTGTTTTTTCACCAAAGTGAGAGGGCGAAAGCGGATACCCGGCGCTCTTCACCGGGTTGACTGTCCATTGGATGACAGTCTAGGGGAGATGGCTGAACCCTGATTCCAAACCTCCAACGACTGGCGTATGAAGCTCACTGGAGCTCACCGGCAGACGTATGGACAAAGGGCTTGTTGGATGTCTGGCCCCATTCAGAAAGGCGTATGAACCGAACTCTGGTCACCGGCTGCCGATGGATAGTGGACTCCCTACTCCACTCCTACTGCCTTGTAGGTCACACTTGGTTGTGTAAAGGCTAGAGCTGCACTCTCAAACACAAGGCTGAGCGATTCTGGGGACATCATTCGTACCAAATTCCCATGAAACTTCATGAACTCTCTTACATGGCTTGGTACAGTCAAGGCTGATATGGAGTGCCTGGGGCTACAAACCGTCTACGGACTCCGTCTGTGGAACAAGAATTGGATAACCCTGTCGCAAAACCTTGCATCAGATCGCCGCACCTGGGCAGCGATGATTCGAAATGTTCATGAAGCCGGCTCATCCTCCCGTAGGAGATAGCCGAAGTAAAGTAAAGTAAGTGTCAGCCTATAAGGCCTTCTAATATTTACATACATTCTCATCTACAGAAGGAGCATTGTCTAGTTGTTTAATGGGTCGTTATATCTAGTGTAATTTGTGGATCGTAGTCATTTCAAAAAGTACTCTAACTCTTTGAGAGCTGAAAGTCGTAGCATTTGCACAGTCTAATGATTTAAATTACATATCGGGCCTTTAACTTAAATACACTGTCATATCAGTCAGCAGGTCTCACTAACCGGAAAGATAGTACCCTTAAATTGGTAGGTCAATGCAATCCATACTTTAATGTTTGAAAATCCTTCGAGTAGTCACTAGGGCCTTTGACATGTAGCTGTAGTAGTAAGTGCTCGGGTACAATGTGGATGTACATTGTTTAACTGAGTGGTATTAGGAAGAGTGAAAATGCGCCTTAACGTATACGCTGGGTGGTTTCTACTGAAGACTAAATGGTATTTTCTAAGAAGTGGGCCATTCACATGTTTCCCTAAGTAGGACAGAAATGCATCTGTCAGTTTCGAATTCTTAATTGAGTATATTGATCAACTGTGCTTGGATAACGACTTTTACTTATCCATCATGCATTTAGGTAACGACGTCTAGCTCTGTTTTCATTAGGCTCTAAAAGTAGTGATAGCGTTACTGTCCTCAAAATATCAAGTGCTATGTATCCTAATTTCCCCTTCCAAATTAAAGAAATAAGAACATACTGTCAGGCTCTAAACTCTACAGTCGTTTTTTGATCTCCGCCTTCCAACTTCTGACTACAGTTCAAATAAAGTATATGAATTTGATCTGCCTCGTTTGCTTCAGGAAATATATTGCTTGGATACTAGCTAGGGAATCTGAGCAGTAGCCCATACTGATAAGACAATAAAAATAAGCTTCTGCCATCCATTCTCAGTCGGCGCTTGGTGATCGTCGACACCAAGCCAATAGCAGACACAAACGATAGAGTGACAGGATCCACAGAAAGCTGTTTCAAGCAGAATCGTTTGGCATAACAACAGCTTGTAGTGTCTGTTACGAATGACTTATTGTAATTAGAGAATGAAGTCCGAAAAAATTCCCGCTTCACTGAGCCTTGCATTGTACTTCAGATACCCATTGAGCACCTTTAGCGCTCCGATGATTTCAATATAGACAAAAAATTCCCATTTAGACATTTAGGAAAACAGAAGGATTGAGTGAAGAAATATTTACTTTTCAATTAGATCCTCATCTCTGGCTGTACTCTAATATACACGTATAGCATTTTTATTACAATACACAACAATTTACCAATCAAGTGGCGATATGTTTGTTAACAATAATTAGTCAGTGTCAACATGTCATTGGAGTGATAATTAACGAAGAAAATTAATACACACAATTAAAAGGTAGAAATGGTTGCAACACGTGGATTGCGTAGTGCATAATTTTGGAGAAATGAATAGTAACTAAAGAATAAGCGTGTGCACAGGTTGATTGTTAAAGAAAATAATACGATTTGGACAATGCCAACTTGTAACTAATGATGAAGTGGTCATAAGAATAAAATAATTTTACAAGGATAACATGTAATTAAAGATGAAGTAGTCAGAAAAAAAATAAAATAATTTGGACAATTATAATTTTCAAAGGTGTAGGGGTAGGGTGGCGAAGTAGTCCGGTTTATACATTCTTGTAACGATGGCCAAGTTAAGGAAAGTGGCTATACAAAGCTGTGTTGGCGTCGATGCGATGTCCAGTATTAACTAAGTGTGACAAGATCGATCTTTTTATGCACTTAATTTCCCCCTTGCTGAACCAAGCTGGTAAATGTTCTCGAACCTGCCTAACCGTGCGCCCTATGTAACTTGAACCCCAGGAACAGTTGAAATGGTATACGCATGAGCAAGAGTTAAGGTTAAGTAAGATATCGTTGAGTTGTTGGGTGAACACTGGACGGCTACTGAAGGATAGGAAAAGATCTGCAGAGTAAAAAGCTTTCTCTATCGCCCTGGTTAAACATTGCGATAGAATCTTCACAGGAGTATCTCTCTTGAATTTTAGACGTAAAAACGGAGGCTTTTTCTCCACCGTTGCCAGTTCCTGTTTACGACTATTGTAACCTTTGTTGGCTTTAATGAACTCTGGATATCCGTTCTTGCATAGAATGTCTCGGATGACCTGGAGTTCTTTCTTTACACAGTCTTCGAAACAAATGAACCTCGATCTAAATGCCAAGCACCTGATCAGATTACGTTTGTATTTCATCGCTACGAAGCACACATTAGTTATTTCATTATAAATCTCTCATTGCAGTTTTACTATCTCCTCTTTAATACATAACACTTTACACCAGCCACTCACCTGACACCTTTTATAACCTTGGACTGACTTATTTGTCAATTTCTCCTACCGCATATTCTACTAATCTATTATGACTAATCATCACCTTTGTCTCCCATTTTACCGAGGTATTTTGTAATCGATTTCAGCCCAGGGCACGTTTGTCAAACAAATACGACTATTTATTTTGACACCCCATAACTGCTAATCTGTTATTCTACGCGAAAAAATGTATCCGCCGTATGGATAACTAACTGGCCATTATTGTAACAAACAGTAACGTTAAGTGACCGGATAAACCTCTAACTGATTTATAAAAGCACAACTTTATTAATCTTTCCAGCTGATATAGGTCACAAGTCGTCATAGTCTTCAAGTGAAGAGAAAAATCCTCTTGTGATAAGTATAGTGATATTAAGTAGTGTAAAAGTCTTCAAAATCATTGGCTCTACGATTAAATGGTATGCGAATGGAGTTTTTTTTTCCTTCACGTTCCCCAGTGGAACATAGAGCTTCAAGCTAGTGGCTTAAAGTTTCTGTAGCAGTGTTTATTTAACAGGATGGGGTTGCTAGCCTCATACCCAACCTTTCCTCTACACCAGCATTATTTCTGGCTTAGCGAGGCAAAGGAGTGCGTTGGTGGCCGGGGATCGAACCCCGGACCATGTGCATGGTCGGCGAACGTCATAACCGCTATGCCACCGACGCACACGAATGGAGTTTAGAAAACAACAAACCCAATGACTTCTAATTTATTGATCTTTCGTTATATCATGGACCTAAGACAGTATTGTATGCATAAATGAATATCTTCATAATATTTCGATGTTTTGGTTTTACTCTTAATTTGTTTCTTTTATATGTCATCATCAATAGAAGTTATACAGACTGCTAGAAATTGATTCAGTATGAAAGTTGATTGGCAATGTCCTGATTGGAGAAGTTACAATACTGACCATCCATCTCTCAAGGCACATGTCGAGAAATTAGCTAAACTTGGGTTAAAGGACCCATGGATTAGGTAGGTATTACTATTTCTGTTATATATATATATATATATATATATATATATATATATATATATATATATATAATAGTATTTTATACGTACGTGTGTTTATGGTAAACTTCTGAGATTCCGCTTGTAATGCAGTTTTCATTTCATACGATCAATATCTACCTGAGAATTCTTGTGCGAAAAATTGATTTTGTTTGTTTGATTTACTGACATGCTGCCGAAGTTTTGTATGCAGCAAACAGAAAGGTACAACATGTAATGTCAATAAGACAGTAGAAGCTACTTCCTCTTTGTTGCAGACATTGATTTAGAAAATTAAAATGATGTTTTCTTAAGTTACGCATGTGTGGTCTGAGGTTCGAATTCCGGTGGACGAACTCTAGTTTACTAGTGTTGGTGGTAAGCCTAGAAAAGAGAGAAGGTTTGACGTGATGCTAGTAACTTCATTCTATGAAAGTAACAGTACCGCTAGCGATCCCACACCACTAAACCTATCAAACCGTTAGAGAAACTTCAACGACCAGAAAATATATCAGAAATACAAAACATTCACTGGAATCGGAGAGGCGAAATGACCCGGGCTGATGAAAGCCGGCCTTCGGGAAGCCAGACAGCAGATGTGTCTTCTCTTGATGAAAGCAGGAATATGAGTGGAGACGTGGAATGTCTGTACAACGCACGAAACTGGGAAGGCTGCCCAGGTAGCCAAAGAAATGAAAAGATATGACCTAGAAGTGCTCGGTATCTGCGAAGGCAGATAGAATGGATATGGATTATCAAAATTATCAACTGGACAGTCAGTAATCTACTCTGGTCTGGCCACCCAGACAACAACCACGAACACACTTAGGCAGTGAGTGGTCATAATGATGTCACCAGTAGCGGCTAGAGCCCTAATGCAGTGGGGTATTCGAAGTGCCTACAGGAGTAAAACAAGGCTGGCTCCACTTACGTGGAGCGGATGTCGAACCCAGGACCCATTGACTGAAAGCCGAGTGCTTAAGTCATGACGCCATATCTCTGCTTATGGCATTCGTGTCTGGCATTAAGTGCGTAGACTAATAAAGCATAGTTTTGAATATGTTTGAATATGCTCCCTCACAGACATAACAGAGTTGAATTATTCTTCCATGGGTTTGTATGTGTCAGTTTAATAGGATCTTCTGGAATGCATCAAGTCTTATTATTGCTTATAAGAGACTGTAGCTCATTGCTGTAGGCACGTTAAACCCTAATCAATTCGTCATGAAATCTAACCCCTTTTCACCTGAGAAAAAGATAATGTCCCTTACGTAATATAGTACACAGTAATAATGCTTGTGGTGTTCGCTGAGATTGCTCAGTTTCACACCGTTCTTATTTCACTTTGGTCCTTTATTGAATGAGTGTGCCTCTGACTGATTGACTGCTTTCAACATAGATCTTTGCATCAATGCGCAGCAGTTTAAGTCGCCAAACTTCACTCAGCACACAGAGCAAGAGAACAGAGTAAGAAGAAACGCAAAATAGAAACAGTAAACAGAGACATAGGGCAAAAAGAATAGTAATATGGAAGAACCGTATACTTTTATTGGACATTATAAGTCACAAGGAGTGGATGCATCTGCACCAGCCATTGACAACGAAGATTTTGAGCAATATGACCATTTGTCTCCAGCTTTCATTGGCTTTTACAGTCCGGAGGAACCCAACCAGGAAGTCTGCACCTTCCTATGTGGCTGACTTAAACTAACTGTTGTGGATTTCATTGACTTACGCCATGTTTTGGTTTGACCACCACTTACTCTCTTCAAACCTGATCGTCTGTTCACCAATATTGCCCGTCAGTCGAGAAAGGCGATGGTTAGGCATACGTAACACATGTCCTAAGCATCTCAGTCGATGTGCCTCTGATTGACTTTGATGCTACCTCAGGAATTAATTGATCAGCTATTAATGAAACACCTCATTGGCGCTAAGCATATGCAGACGGTATAATCATCTTAGGTAGAGGTGCTAAGAATCATCAGTCTTCTAAATACGCCTAAAACTTACGTATATGGCTTAGTTAGCTAGAATTCACTTATCCGATATCGGGTTATGAGCTATACATTTATTGTGTCAGGGCTAATAAGACTACTACTCAGTTGACCATCCTGAAGTAATTGGAGCAGGGTTCGAAGCCCCAGGACCTAGATGTCTCTTGCTAAATAAGCTCTCTTTGACAAAAACTGAGACCTGGGTCACCAACTGGCTGCATTCCTACTTCTCTAACAGAATGCAGTACACCGTATGCAAAGGTAAATCCTCCTCTGCTGTACTCACTGAAGCCGGTGTCCCCCAAGGTGCTGTACTCTCCCCACTTCTCTTTTCTTCCTTTCTACATGACTTACCATCTTCAAATGACATTAATTTTGCAAATATGCTGACGATCTGACTGTATCTTTGCCTGTCAAATGTCAAAGCAATTGCTCTAAACTTAATGGCTTTCTGTCCGAAATCAGCCAGTGGTCCAAGGAAAACGGTCTTACATTAAACCCTTCCAAATGCCAAACAGTCAATTTCACCTTTAGGCATAAATCCGACCTAAACAAACTGGTTGGCTCTCACGAGGTGTGCAACATAGATGGCACTGAAATAGAAACCAAGTCGGAGATTAAATACCTAGGCGTCATTCTATCTGCTGATCTCTCCTGGTCGTCTCATATCTTGACGATTTCTAGGAAAATATTCCGTCTTACCTTCTACATCAAGAAGTAAAAACATTCTGGTATTACCCAACCCTTACTCCTACAATTCGTTAACTCTCGCATTCTGCCTATTATTCTCTATTGTTCTCCCTTAGTTTTACCCGGGCTACTGAAGAAAGACCATATCTTATTACGTAGGATGTTAAAGGTTGTCAGCAGGGTAAGCAACGTGCCACTTAACCAGCTTGTTAATATTCTGGTCGACAGGCACATGGACTCATGTGAAAAATGGGCCAAATCCATTTTTATCTAACTCACATCACCCTCTTCACTCACAACTCTCCCCTTGTATCTCATCAGGCGAAACCAGAAGCCTATATAGAAAACTATATGCTCGCACCAGCAAGTACAAAAACTCAACAATACCCTACTTAGCTCGTGTTTTGTGCGGTAAAGAAAGCATTAGGCGTGACACATATAATTCGTTAAATAGTCAGTAGTACAACTGGACCTCGTCTTTCCAACTCATATCATTTATAGGTACAACGTTTTCTTTCTCTCTTTCCCTTTTCTCTCTCTTCTTTTTCCGTTATGTGCTGCTTTGTTTCTTTCTCTCGCTTACGCCAGTAAATATGATAGCACCTACTTTTCTAACGCCTTGAAACACTGTTTAATTTTGGCTTTGCTACCGACATGCCAATGTGTTGTTGTAATAATGAACTGAGATTTCCTTAATCTATGTAGAATTTTATTTATTGATAATGTACTAACTGGATGCAATACTGTAGTAAAAATGCTGAGAATTCCATTCTGTATCACATGTACTGTTTTGGAATAAAGCAAATTATTATTATTATTGGCTAACAGGTAGACAGTTGAGTGCTTAGGCTAGTGTGTAGCCTAATGTATAACTGATGGTCAGGAATTAATTCACATAGGTTAATGCCTTAAAATGTTTTGATATTTCTGCACTGTGGGGATATTACTTATTTCGCTTTCCTCTTTTTTATTTTTTATTCCCTTCTAGAAACTATGCTTGGCGTTATTCACCGAAAATATACAAAACACGTTTCCAGTGGGTTAAAGAATTATTCCTTCGAAGATTACCGCATGGTGTTGCTTTAGGCCTTGCAGCCACTGTAGTCATTAACGGGTTTGATCATTGGCGAAAAAAGCAAGAGCATCATCATCATGTATCATCTACAGCAGAACATTAGGCGAATTACTTTTTCTGTCTTATGTGCACAGTCCTGTTATTATCATTATCATTATTATTATTACTCTTGTTTTGATTGAAGTTAGAATTTTGTTTTTAGCTATAATGGTTTGTAAAATAACACCCTTACAATGGAAGTGTAAAATAAAATAGTTTTTAATTTTTAGAGGAAAAAATAAAACACGCGAAAGTATTTGTTCATAAATTATTGAGCTGTGTTGTCATCACTGTGAAAAAGTAGTTTTCGTGTTCAGTGCAGTCTGTTAAGCGACTTGTAAGATGATGGGTTATTATTATTATCATTATTTCCTTTAATTCCTAGAGGAACATAGAGCTTCAGCCGTGCGTCTCCATTGCGTTCGGTTCTCTGCTGAAGTCTTCACCTGGCTCCAAGTCTTCCCACGTGCTTTCATCTCCTCTTCACATGACCTCCTCCAAGTCACCCACTCTTGCACTGACGACCAACTCGCCGCTTCCCTTTTGGGTTCCACTCGAGCAATGGCTTGCCTAGTGATGTCACGATGATTTCCCCAGAGTATGACCAATCCATCTCCATTTCTTCCTGCCTATTTGTTTCACAATCGGTTCTTGGTTGGTTCGCTCATTGCCAGAGATACCTGTTGCTGATCTTCTCTGACCGGCTATCTGATCTTGAGTATTGAGCGAAGACAACTGTTAATGAAGGTGTGTAGTTTGTTTGAGATGCTCTTTATGACGCGCAGTGCAAGTCTCTGATCCGTATAGGGAGTAGCACTGACTTCACATTGGAGTTGAAAATCCGGATCTTACTTTCATTTTCATGCTGAGTGCTGTTGACCTCCACACAGACTTGAGAGTAGTGAAAGCTTGTCTTGCTTTTCCGATTCTTGCTTTAATATCCTCGTCAGTTCCGCGTGTAGTTAAAACGATGCTTCCCAGGTAGGTAATTAAAGGAGGTTGTTTCTTTCAGGTTTCTTCCATTTATGCTGATTGTTGTCTGTTGTCGTTGTTGCTGTTGGTGGTGTTGCCCATGAATCTTCATCACCTCAGTTTTCTCTATGCTCACCTGAAATCCTATCTTTGATGCTTCTTCGGCTAACTTGTTGCTTTTCGCTTGTATATCTTCCAGTTTGTGGGAAATCAGACATATATCAATCAGTGAAGCCCAGATCCTCCAAGTTTTTTGTATGAGTCCATTTTATGCCTGTTTCCTCGTTGCCCGCTGTTTGTCGCATTATCCAATCTACTGCAATCAGGAAAATCATTGGCGATAGTAGGCAGCCAGCCTTGTCTTACTCCTGTCCTCACTTCGAAGGATTCCGTAAGTTTTCCGTTGTGGATTACTTGGCATGCAGCATTGTCGTACAGCTGTTGGATGAGATGTATAATTTTCGGTGGCTCCCCGTAGTAGCGAAGTAGTTGCCAAATCACCTCTCGATCGACGCTGTCGAAGGCCTTTTCAAAGTCGATGAAGTTGAGATAGAGAGGTGACTGCCATTCCAAGCTTTGTTCAATGATGATCCGTAATGTGATGATCTGATCAATACATGACTTGTTTCTCCTGAATCCAGCCTGTTCCGGTCGAAGTTTTTCATCCAGGGCTTGTTTGATTCTCTCCAGGATGATACGGCTTAGTATTTTGCCACTTTCATACGCTGGTTAGTATTCAACAATAAAGTGTGATTGTTATTGAAAATCTTCTTCAGATAGTTAAACAAGTGTCAGTTACAGCTGCAGACAGTCAGTGATTATTACTCGCAGTCTATTCAAGTTGACTGACTGACTAAATTTCAACACAGAACTTTGCCCATAAGTGCAAATTGTATCCAGCCGTCTTTTCTTAGCACACCGAGGAGCCCATCTAGGAAGTTTATGCTTCCCTACGTAGCTCAAACTAAGTGTCTAAGATTTCAAGTAACTGGTGTCGTATTTTAGTTTGAACACCACTGGCTAACTCTTTTCCAACCTGATCCATCCTATGTCAGCTAACGTTGACGTTGTCGGTCGAGGAAAGTGATGACTAGGCAGGCTAGGCATGCGTAATACATATCCTAACCATCTCATTTGATGTAGTTTCATCACCTCATCGATTCATCTCCTCTCCTTACCCACCTAGCACTCGACTCACGCCTAACCTTAATATTGATCACTTTGTGATATACCACTTAACACCGCCTTTGGTCGGATGTCACGCCTACGGCAGACATCCGACCATCAACCAAGGGACGTGTGTACTGCTCAGAAGTTCGCTCCGTCCTTCTCTATGGCTCTGAAACATGGCCAGTACGAGTTGAAGACATGAAAAGGTTGTCTGTTTTTGATCATAGATGTCTACGATCTCTTTCTCACGTTAGTTGGCATAATAAGGTAAGTAATATTGACGTTAGGCGTAGAGTGTTGGGCAAAGAGGGAAAATCAATCGACGAGACTATAAAGTTACATAGATTGAGATGGCTAGGTCACGTGCTGCGCATGCCTAACCATCGCCTCCCTGCCCCCGACGGACGGGCATTACTAGCTGATATAGGTAGGTGCAGGTTGGAAAAGAGTAAGTGGTGGCCAAACAAAACATGACATCAATCCATGAAATCCTTGACAGTTAAACTGAGTCAGGTAGGGAGATGCAGACTTCCGGGTTGGGGCCCGCCCTCGGGACTCTAAGAATCAATAGCTGGAGACACTAGGTGACATGGTTCAAAGTCGTTGTCAATGGCGTAGATGTATTCAGTCTCTGTAATCTTTCATATTCCCTTCTACCATTACTCATTTTGTTTCACTCTTATACTTGTCAAAACTCTATTGATTCTCTTCACTCATCTTCTCCTTGTTTACCTTTGTGTGCTATTTGGAACGTGGCAACTCGAACTATTGCACTTCGGTGCCAAGTTTTATGTTGAATCCAGTCTGCTAACCTTTGGTTGATAGCTGGATATCATATCTACTCCAAAGATGGTGTGTGGTGGCAAAAGCCACATGAGCCTTTTGTATCCGTACAGAAATTTCGCCAGTAATCAACTAGCTGGGGCTAATGCAACTTCCCAAAACAATCGATGTGGTCAACATACTGTACCACTTGACTCCCGATGTAGTCCAGTCATGCAGCATCGTCTTACATTTGAAATTCACTCAATTTAGGATACAATTACCATTATGTTGACGATAAAGTTTAGTTAACAGCTAAAATTAACGATTTCCTTAGCGTGCTTTATAAGACTACCACACCTACTAAGGTTTGAATACTGTTGTCACAAGCCTTTACCCCCTAAAATATATCATCTCTTTCTTAGCCTTCGATTTGTAGTGAAACATCCAATGTAGTAGTAACTACCTTAGGGGAGCCTATATTTCGTTGCATAGCTGAAGTCGACTAGTCAGGGATTTTGTTGAATTGTCACAAACACAGCTGCAAGACATTATTGGCCTAAATAAAACTTTTCGTTTTGTGCAGTTTATACTCGGTAAAGGAATGAAAGGACTGGTCATGCATGACAGAGGTTAGATTTCATGGCGAATTGATTAGGGTTTTTAACGTGCCTACAGCAATGATCTACAATCTTTTATAAGCAGTAATAAGACTTGATATATTCCAGAAGATCCTATTGAACTGACAAATACAAACCCATGGAAGAATAATTCAACTCTGTCATGTCTGTGAGGGAGCATATTCAAACCTATTGAAAACTATGCTTTATTAGCCTACGTACTTAACTCTAGACACGTATGCCATAAGCAGAGATATGGCACATTGACTTAAGCACTTAGCTTTCAGCCAATGGGTTCTGGGTTCGAGATCCGCTCCACTTACTTCAGCCTGGGTAGTGTCATTAGCCTGCAAACAATAAGTGTGGCTTATGGTCAAGTGTCGAGCAATTCTGATGCAACTAACTAACTAACTCAATCTGTTATTATTATTTCATTCCATGATATTTCAAAAGGTGGTCATCATAATTACCTTCGCTTGTTACTTAACAACCACTTGCATAATTCCATATGCAGTTAGTAATGAGCCACACGTATTTTGTGAAGGCTTATCTACCTACTACTTGGATATTTAAACCTGGATAGGTGGGGTTCGAACTCACAACCCACTGATCAAGGCACTCTGTTCGAACTCACGCAGCTATATCAATTGATATGATTATGAACAATAAATTTTGTTCGAAACATTGTCATCCAGTAAATAATACTGTTTCACTGTGTGATATATCTAATAAGCAAAATAATATGTAATTACTTACTACCACAGTGCCCAAGTTTTACACATATATTAATAGGGCGTTGGTTAAGTGTTTGTTCAAGCGCATTCACCGTATATGTACTGCCGATACAATTGAAGAAGAAAGACAACACCTCACTAAAAAATATTGTTAGGCAACAATTACCCACTGAGATTTATTAGGCGTTACGGAACCAGAGAGCTCTACCAGTCCAATCAGCTCCCCAAAAGGATATTTACATATCCTTGCCATCTGGTCACTAGACAAAGACTCAAGGCCGCAATTAATAGAACTTAATATGCAGTTAAACTTATCTTCACAGAGAAAACGAGAACTATGCTGTCCTGTAAACCCTCACATTATCCGAACGATAGTGTCACATTCCACTGTGTTTGTCAATTTACATGTATGTGTAGAGACACGTACATGAGGGAGGACCCATCGGTCTCTGCAGGTTAAGGCTACAGAACACATTCCAAAGTGGCTGCAGCAACAATTAAAATCGCCAGACACAACTGACCTGGGAAATAGATGTCCAACATCATCTATAGCGAAGCATATGATAGAGACGGGTTATAAGGTTGATTTCAACAATGCCTTTAAGCCGATATATAAAACAAGGTTGGGCTACATGTCTGTCCGTTTTCGACATAGAACTTTGCACATATGTGCGCCAGTTCAATTCGCCACACTCCATGTAGCACACAAAGGAAGAGAAGAAAGTAGGAGAAATGCACAATATAGACAGTAAACAGAGGTTTGAGACAAAGGAATAGTAATAACGAAGAACAAAACAGTTTCATTGGAAATCATAAGTCACAAGGAGTGGATGCATCTGCCCCAGCCATTGAGAACGATGAGTTTGAGCCATGTCACCAATTGTTTCCAACCATTGGTTTTTACCGTCCCGAGGACCTCAACCAGTCAGGAAGTCTACACCTTCCTACGTGGCTTAGACTAACTGTCGTAGATTTCATTGACTGGCCCCATGTTTTTGTTTGACTGCCGCTAGCTCTTTTCCAGCCTGACCTTATATCAGCTAACGTTGACCGTCGAGGAAGGCGATGACTAGGCATACGTAACACATGTCCTAATCATCTCAGTCGATGTAATTTCACAGTCTCGTCTATTGGTTTCCCCGCCTTACCTAGCACTCGACCAATGCCTAACCTCAATATTGCTCACCTTATTATACCACTTCACACACACGGGAGATAAAACGCAGGCACCTATGATCAAAGACAGCTTATCTTTTCATGTCTTCCACATGCTTAAATTCATTGAAGCCTTAGCCATAAAAAGACTTAAACCTGTCCTATGTGTCCAAAAGTTATTTGTTATTACCTTAAACCTACCTTGGTAATCCAATTTAAAACTAATAATATTTTCAACCCATTCTTTGCTTTGTTTCTTCTCCTTTATCTCTCTAACCCACACCTTTGCGTCTCCCTACCCATTATTTGTGACCCTGACCTGTATTGTAATTATTCATGTCTTCTATAAAAACTGTGTATGACAAGTACGCGGGTGTGTGTGTGTGTGTGTGATCAGAATGTCAGAAATGTGTTGCGCCAATACATTACACACGTTTCAGATAAACTACACGTCTTCTTATTGTGTTGTCGAAATCTTTCCGTGTTTTTTTTTCACAAAGTTATTTGATAGTGTGGAAAATTCCCATATTATGAATTAAAAGTCAATCTGAACGAAGAATATTCTTTTCAATACATCCTTCTCCTCTTCAGGTTCTTACAATTATAAAATATAATATTTATTGTTGTCGTTACAATAATGATAGCCAGTTAGTTATGCGGCAGATACATTTTTAACGTAGAATAACAGATTAGTTATGTTTGGGGTGTCAAAATAAATAGTCGTATTTGTGTGACAAACGTGCTAGGCTGAATTCGACTACAAAATATTGCAAAACGGGAGACAATGATGGTGATTAATCATAATAGATTTGTAGAGTGGGGGGTTCAATTTATATAGAGCGCACGATTAGGCAGGTTCGTCTACGGGTTCGAGAACACTTGCCAGCTTGGTTCAGCAGGGGGGAAATTAAGTGCATAAAAAGCTCGATCCTGTCACACTTGGTCGATACTGGACATCATATCGATGTCAACACAGCTTTCAGGGTTATATACCGAATTCCGAAGTCATTATCACGTACAGTTCACTTACGTCTTCTACACATAGCTGAAGCTGTTACAATAAGATCGACTAAACTGGAACTTTGTATCCAAAAAGAACACGTCCAGACGCTGTTCCTACCGTGGCCAAACTTGGATTGATGATTCTTCTTCTCACCAAGAGTGCTCCTTCCCCTTAACCCTCTTGCCTTTTCTCTTTTTTCCTTTGCTTATTATTACAAATATTATTATCACAATTATTATTATTACTCGTCATAATTTATGCCCTTCATGCAAACATTCTCTCAATACTATAGAATTTTTTTTCGTTTATACTATCCGGAATTATTATTAGTGATATTACCTCTTTTCTCAATATATGCCTCCACCTGTTTCATTTCACATATTCGTTATCTCATTATGAACCTCTCTCATTGCAGTCCTACTATCTCCTGTTTAACACAGACCACTTTGTACTAGCCACTCACTCACCTGACACCTTTTATAACCTTGAAGTGACTTGTCAATTAATACCTACCCCACACTTTACAAATCTATTATGATTAATCACCACCATTGTTTCCCGTTTAACAATATTTTGTAATCGAATTCAGCCCAGGGCACGTTTGTCACACAAATACGACTATTTATTTTGACACCCCATAACAGGCTAGTCTGTTATTCTACGTTAAAAATGTATCTGCCGCATAACTGGCCTTTATTGTAACGACAACAAATATTATATTTTATAATTGTAAGAACCTGAAGAGAAATTATTGAAAAGAATATTCTTCGTTCAGATTGACAAAGTTATTTAACGACAAAAATGAACACGTATAGTAAGATGAATATACTTGTGTATTGAGCAATATGAATAATGATGATAATAATAATAATAATGATAATAAATCTGGTTATGAACACACGTATACAATGCTGTGATTAGTAGTAAGTAATACATGTATATATTCACATTCATAGGAAGGAAGGAAGGAAGAAAGGAGAGTCATAGAATGACAATACAAAAAATATATTAATCATCAAGTAGGTGATTCATTTCAGTTAAGTTTAACAAACCTTTCGATTCGCGTAATGCACTGGTAGTTTTGTCGATGTCAGCTGTTATGGTTGTTGGTGTTGTTGTTATTGTTCCTCCAATTGGGAATAAAGACGAGTCAAGATTGTTCGATGAAGGATGCGATAGTGTTGGTAAAGAATGATCGATTAAACCAAAGACAAATTTATAACAACCGAATTGAATGACTGATCCATGTCTTAGGATAGCTGGCCCTTCCCAACCGGATATCATCTCTGCTGATGGTGTTGTTGTTGTTGTCATCGTCATCGTCGTCTCCAACTTACCAGACTGATGATAACGGTCAATAGTATTCTGGGGAGGATTCCCATCATGACATTCATCATCATCATCGTCATCAAGAGTAGGAGTAGTAACAGTGGCACCGGGATTAAGTTTAGGACCAACGCCAAGACATAAACTTGTACATTCACATAAAGATGTCATGTGGGATATATGCTAAAAAAAAATTAAAAAGCAAAATAAACAGTCAATATTCAAGTATTGGTTTGTAGGGATTTGATGGATTGGTTACAGGAAATCATGAGATACCCACTGGCGACTGGCCCTATTCAGGTATCTAGTAGGAAGTCGTGACCACTAAGGTACAGCAGGTCGGGCGTGAGGACAAATACTCGCCACCGATGACATTGGCTAGTGCCAGTCGCGCTATATCGTGAATTGGCAGAAGTTAGAATTCATGGACTGGCCGGTCATTGGGGATCGGGTCCCAGTGGCTCAATGGTCTACGAGCTCACTAGCTAGCCTTGTAACCAGAAGGTCCTGGATTCGAACCCTGGTGGTGGGTGCATACTGCTGAAGAGTCCCAAACTAGGCTGAGGAAACAACTGTCCAGTACTCTCCATGGCAGGTTTTCCAGTGGTTCTCTAACTGATGTCACCTCATGATGAAATCGTCCATTCAATTAAACTGAATCCCTACAAAACCAATATTGAAATATAATTAGAATTAAAATGTTGGTTTGCATGGATTTGATTTGGTAGGTAACCAGATTTCATCATGAGCTGAAATCCAGTTAGACAACCATTGGAAAACCACCAAGGAGTGTTGAAAAGAGGTTTCGTCCTAGCCTGGGACTCTTCATCAGTAAGCAAGCACCAGGCTTTGAAGCCAGGAAATTCAGCCACTAAGATCCGAATTTAACGGCTGATGAACTTCAACCTCTACCATTTCGTGATACATATAGCGCAACCACCAGAGAAGTAGTCAAAGTGGTGGAATTGTAGTTAGTTAACTGAGTACTGTTCATTTTGAAACACACATTAAAAACAAATTTATTCAGAGGTATCATCATTTTACATTAATTTGAAACCCCTATTCATACAACAAAAAGAATATTTAAGGAGACAGTCCTCGGGTATCAAAATCTTTCAGAGAAAAACTAATCTAAAATTCTATCAGAGATTGTGAATAGCATTCAAATGGTGATATTATTGAGTAAAATATAAATTATGTTGCATATGATGGAGAAGATTTGTAGCTCAGGTGGATGATTTTGATGTCGTTGTGTTCTCTGAGCTAGCTAGCTGGATGGTTTATTTGCGAAGCTTTCATTACTGCCCTGCTAGGCGACATCTTCAGCACATACTTCAATTTGTTGAAGTGAGCTTTTAGATTTCTCCACGAGTTTATTAATCATCTCTCCTGGTGACCTTGGACGTCATTGGTCGTGTTTATGTGTTTTCACACACAAAGAGTCAAAGTTCAAGTCAAAGAAAGAATCACTTCTAATACAAGTCGCCTACAGGGTGTGAAAGCACACAAACACAACCAATCACGTCCAAGGTCACCAGGAGAAATGATTAATAAACTCGTGTGATAGGATCCCACACACTTTGTTATTGTTCAATTATCTTAACGACTGTTAATCTCGTATAAGTTGTATATCATCAATTCTCACACACTTTGTTATTGTTCAATTATCTTAATGACTGTTAATCTCGTATAAGTTGTATATCATCAATTCTCACACACTTTGTTATTGTTCAATTATCTTAATGACTGTTAATCTCGCATATGTGGTATATCATCATTCCCACGCATTTTGTTATTGACTATTATGACCAATTATTTCAAATACTGTTAGCTGTCTGTATTGGTTGTAAAAATTTATAAATACCATTTCCTAAATAAGTTTATTTGTCGTTGTTGTAGTCGTCGTCGTCGTCGTAGTTGTTGTACTACAATACACAGTCACAGACCCGACTTTGTCTTTTGATATTTACGTAGTTCGCTGAGTCGGAAGGTACAAGAAGCAGATAGGCATATTAGTCAGGCGCAGACAGAACAAGGCGACAACGTTCCTCATTTTAATTCTAATACAGTTATAACAAATTGGCGACGGGGTTTACTTTAATTCATCGCAGTTATAACATCGTGGATAAATCTAAAAGCTCACTTCAACAAATTGAAGCATGCACTGAAGATGTCGCCTAGTAGGGCAATAATGAAAGCTTCGCAAATAAACCATCCAGTTAGCTCAAAGAACAAAACCATAGCAAAATTATGTTGCATTAGAAGCTTAAATTAAAACTAAGATAGTTCGCAGTCTACACCTTTTGTGCTATTGGGTGTTTCATGTTTTCATGTGATCTCCCTTTACTATTCATGCGCTTTATCCTAATTTATAAGTTTTCACTAGCCGCCTATTAGTCCGTGTCTATTCACCGATCGCATGTTTAACTTCAACACCGATTGGTACTACAAATGTGTAGGTGTGTGTGTGTGTGTTCCTGTTTACCGATCAAAACTATCATAGACGTAGAGTACACAGATCTAAAGAAATATCCTCACGTAGACCTCCAACTGAAAACTTTTTTTTATTTAAAAAGGAGGTGTTAGGACTCACAAACTTAGTCTATTAGTACTGAAGTCATGATAACCTAAACTGGCCAGCTTTTTTTGATTGGCTTATTTTTGGCTTTAATTCCTGAGATGAGAATTTGCGATGTCATACAAACCCCGCCACCGCCAATCATACTTGTCTATTTACGGCTTACTTACATTCCTGAGGTTTTGCATATTTTGTCTAATGAACAATTATCACAGTTGAATCTAACTTTTGTCTTATTGATATAAGTATAAAACTTGGGCACTGTGGTAGAGTATAATTCCATAATGGATAAGATTTTATTTTGATAAATCACACAGTGTAGTACAGTTATATTAACTGATGACCACCTTTCGAGCACAAACTATTGCCACTCATAATCATATCAAGTTAGTCACACAACTTCTTTCCTTCATTTATATACATGTGTGGAATCCACTAGATATTGGAATAAAATTCAATATGAGATGATGTACATTCAGAAATAATAGTACGAGTGTTATTAATCCATTGCAATTAGATGGGAAATACGACGAGTGTTTTTATAGTCATAATAAGTTGATTGTTAGAATGTGTTGATGTGCTTGAATGGAAATAGAATTTTAAGATTATTTATCATCCTCTTCTGATTTGACTGGCGGTAATAATATCTTCCATATCTCTGGTATTTGCATTGAGTCACTTCTGTTGCATGTGTTGGGTGTAGACTCGATGAATAAGGATTCCGTAATCAACCTCTCTCTCCACCTACCTATATTACTTTTTAGAATTTTAATCCTATCCCACCCTATTGTGTGGTTGTTTGTTATTGCGTGAAGTGCATTAGCTGAGCTTTTTTCTAAATTACTTATCTTTTCAGGGTCAATCATTTTCCCTTTAGCTAAATTCTTATGTTCTGATAATCTGACTATCCCTGACCTACCAGTTTGACCTATGTAGTTGACTTCACAGTCATTGCAAGGTATTTTGTAAATTATATTATTTTGTTTAATTGGGTCCAACGGGTCCTTTAACCTACAAAGTTTGTCTCTGAGTGAGTTTGTTGGTTTGAATGCCACCCTAATTCCTGCTTTATTGAGAATCCTACGTAGGGCCTCAGATGTCCCCTCCTTATATGGTATAACAGTAGAAGATTTATATTCTCTCTTATTTATGTTATCATAATTAGTTCCACAATTATTTTTATTTTGTTTTTGGCCTTTACTGATCTTCCTAATGAATTTTATAGGATAGTTATTCAACACCAACGCTTCTTCTATCTGTTTTATTTCGTCATTTAGGTCCTTTTTTGTGCTACTTAGTGTGATTTATCAAAATAAAATCTTATCCATTATGCAACTAACTTTTGTCTCCATCTCGGTGTGTGAGGGACATTTTCATTTGGTCAGTTGGTTATAGTGTCGTGTGTGTCTGGAAGAGCGCAATTCTAGTCAAGTTTGACGAAACCCAGTTAACCCCATTAACACAAACACTTGGTCATAACAAACACACAGACAAATATTTACAATAAAAGGAAAAAAATAAACATTACCTCATGACGTTTACTCAACATCATTACACGTTTAGGAGGTGAAGAACAAAGTCCTGATACAGATGACATTTGATGATTAGGCAATAACTCATCTGGAGCACTTTTTAAAAGATTGCGTACTCGACGAACCAGATTTGATGACTACGTGAAAAGAATTGGAAATGCAAAGAAAAAGAAAACAATACATGTGAGAGAGAAATACAGCACAGATTCTTTAAATACTTTGTAACAACAGAAGACAAGGGCCAGGCCAGACAGATCGTTTATTAAGGAAAATCAACACACATATTTATAGATTTTAATGTACATTATTGTAGATTATTGTTAGTAGAAAATACAGTCTTTTGATTGGTGGTTGTTTCTCACAGAAAGTTAACCTTGCATTTCTTTGTAGCTGGCTGTGTCAGATCATCCATATGCTAACTGTATCCGCCCGCCTACGCAAAGCCTTTGTTCTCATTTTCTCACCACCACCAATATTGGGGACATAAACATTGACGTCAATTACTCTGTCTACCAACTTTGGCTAGCAGCCAGCTCTCCACCACAACTTCATGTACTTGTATAAGTTTCCTATTGGATCTTTACTATTTCAGTTAGCCTCCACGAATGTAAGGGAACACTTGATATCACGTGTCTTTTTATTCATTGCGTACCAACTACGTCGGTAATTCATAATCCCAAGTGTTCAATTAATTAATGACCTTTTAGTTAAATATTGTTGTATATATTGGTAAAACTTAATGTTGTAGATGCATTAAAAGTTGTATAGAGATGATAGTCAGAGAGTGTAGGAGTCAGTACCGAGTAAAAACCAAAAACCTGGAATCAATTGATGAAGTCCAGGGTAGTTAGTTGGCTTTAGCCAGCAGCCATGTAAGGATGGAAGTGTAGACGGTTTGTTTGAAGTCTTCAGGATCCTAAGAACGAATAGTTCAAGACTATTGGTGATATTGTGATGAGAGCTGTCTGCTAGCCATAATTGAAAACAACAATTGACGTGTATGTTTACGTCCAGAATCGGGGTCATGAGGAAAAGCAATAACAAAGCGTAATCTTGAGGAACTCAACAACCAATCACAGCTGACTTAGCCTGGGTGGATACGATTCGCAGATATATAGATAAATCTGTAAGCAACGGCCACAAAGAGATGACAGAATAACCTTCATCAAGAAAACAACCGATCAGAAGACGCTGTTTCTCTGCTAACAATAACGAATAGTAATGTACATAAAAATCTATAAATATCTGTTGATTTTTTGAATAAACGATCTGTCTGGTCTGACCATTGTCTTCTGTTGTTACAATATGAGTCGAAATCGTTCCCATTGACGCATTGAGAAGTAATTTAAAAACTACTTCAACACCACGGTGTGCAGTGCCCAAGTCTTTGTCAACTTCATCCAATAGCTATATCAACAGTGGAACGTGTCAAGTGATCCACAACGGAAAAGGCACTCAACGAGGCGTTCGAAATGAATACAGGAGGAGTAAGACAAGGCTGGCTGCCTGTTATCACCCACGATGATATTCTCGATTGTGGTGGACTGGATTATGCGTCAGACTATGCGAAGCGAAGAGTCAGAAATACACTAGGCCAATAGGAGGACTCCATAAGATCTGGACTTCACAGATAATACATGTCAAATGCTATATAAACTCGAAGACTTACAAGCTAAAACCAGCAGATTGGCTGAAGAGGCAGCCAGACAGGCAGCGAAGAGATAACTCCAGGTGAACATAGAAAAGACGGAGGTGATGAAAATAACCGACCAACCAACAGCAACAGCGATAACAACCAGCACCAATCACCATCAATGGGAGAGATTTAACAGAGGTTACCTCCTCCCTTTGCTTATCTAGGAAGCATCGTTTCAACTACAGGTCGAACGGATGAAGGTGGCAAAGTCAGAATCGGAAAGGCTAGATAAGCCTTCAGTAACCTTAAACCAGTAAGGAAATCTTCTGCTATCACTCAGCCAACATAAGTAACAAAATTCGGATTTTCAACAGCAATGTCAAGTTGGTCCTTCTATACGGGTCAGAAACTTGCAGTGTGTGTCACGAAAAGGCTTTTGCGACAACGAGTTTCAAACTTTTATCAACAGCTGCCCCCTTCGCTGGCTGGCTGCATACTTAAGATCAAATGGCCAGGATCACTTAGTAACAAAATATTCTGGAAACAAACCAACAGGCGAGGGCCGATCGCTCAAGAAATATGCAGGAGCAAATAGAGATGGATCGAGCACACACTGAAGAAACCGTCGAATAAAATCGCGCTCAATGCAGGCCATCGCTTGAGTGGAATCCAAATGGGAAGCGACGAGTGGGTCGTCCTAAGGTGGCATGGATGAAGAGATAAGAGATTATGGTCAATCGTGGACGCAGTTGGAGAGGATGGCAGAAAATTGAACAAAGTGGAGATGTGTTGTTGAAGCCCTATGTTCCACTCGGAACCCAAGGGAATAATAACAATAATAATATTTTACTCAGAACGGAAGTAATGAATGAACAATAAGAAAGAAGACAAAGACTAAACACGTAGAAATATATATAAATATATTCTCACCTCAGGTATATAAATCGGCTTTCTATCAATATCATTCCCATACATAATTCCATCGACACGTGTACCATATTCACTATAATTAATCAATTCATAATGTTGAGTCCAATCATCATAGAAGATTGTAGCATGATGTGGAGATATAAAACGACATTCATTTTCTATCGGTAATGATACAGGCGACAAACTGTAATTGGCTAGACAGAGATGACAGTCTGGAGCTGGAAACAAGTAAGAGAAAATAAAAAAACAAAAATGCTCGGTTTTAGTTTGCAATAACACTTCTGTCAACAACTGGATATAGTGTCTACTAAGCCGGAGATGGCGTAAGTTGGCATATGCCACAGAAGCCTCCTGTATCCGTACTGACATTTGGTTAGGGATCAACCTGTTGGCGCTGGTTGATCCAACTCCCCAAATAAGTGAAATGGTCAACACGCTCTACCACTTCATACCCTGTGTATCTTTAAGCTACGAGTGAGTCCAGTCCTGCAGAATCAATTTACAGTTGACAGAAGCAAATCGCATGCCAAACACTCGAAGATTGCTGCTCAAGATGTTCAGAGAGCTCTGCATCTTGTCAGCGTCTTCACCTTGGATGGAGGACTATATCATCCGTATATTCTAAGTCAACAAGATCATTTCCTGGTAACATTATGTGACACGGTGATGTTAAATATTTGGCGAACTCCGGACATAACTGAATGATTACAACAACAAGAAATTTAAAATAAGATGTATCATCTCGGATTAAAATTCAGGCCGCCCGTTATAACTAGCAGTGGAATCCAAGAGGCACATTCCGTCTAATTTGGAACTCGTCAGCTGTACCCGCACTCCACCACCAGTGAATGATGATGTCCCCATTGAGACTTGAACCTAGTACCCTTCGTTTCAATCAGCAAGGCGTTATCCCATTAACTACCTTCGTTAACATAGCAGGAGGTTGTAAGCAGGGAATGAGTAGGTGTGCAAAAACTCACGTAGCAAATATTTTTCCAAACTTCTTCCACTGATTCATACATGCCTTCCATCTGAGTTTTGGTGCAAAGCACTTACGACTAGTCAGAACAACTTGAAGAGTCTAAAAATACTTCTGCCGACCGATAGCTGCTACCTCAATTTAGAGATAGGGCTTCTATACTGAAATGACCCAACAAGCTACACTGGCTAGTAATGAAGGTTTTTGTAAGTCTTACCAGGCAAGAAAATTAGTTCGGATAACGGTTAGAACAAAAGCTGTTACAATTATAGCGTAAATCCTTTACACTATGTTGGGGGATCTGTGAGCGAAGTCATACCACTGGCGAATAGAGATGTCGCCACTGCCTTGTGGAGAGGGAAGGGGGTTAGAAAATGTCAACAGTGAAAGTCTTTGATCATAGGTGTTTGTGTTCTATCTCCCGTGTGTGTTAAGTTGTATAATAGGGTGAGTAATATTGAAGTTAGGCATCGATCGGCTGCTAGGTGGGTAAGCAGGGGAAATCAATAGAGGAAGCTGTGAAATTACACCGATTGAGATGTTTAGGAGATATGTTACGCATGCCTAGCCATCGCCTTTCTCGATTAACAGACAATGTTAGCTGACTGATATACGATGGATCAAAATGGAAAAGAGAGAGCTAATGGTGGTCAAACCAAAACATGTCTTCATCAGTCAACGAAATCCACAACAGTTGGTTTAAGCCAGTCAGTCACTTAAGGAGGTGTAGACTGCCAGACCGGTTGGAGTCCTCAGGATGGAGAGAATCAACGGAGACTGAGGACAATTGGTGATATGGTTGAGAATTGTCCTCAATGACTAGCGCAGATGCATCCACTCCTTGTGACTTACAATAGCCAATAAAACTAAATCGTTCTTCCATGTTACTATTCTTTTTTCCTCACTCATATTTCTGTTTATTATCTCTCCCTGTTTAGAATCTCTCTTTACTCCCTTCTCTTCCTTTGTGTGCTACAAGGAGGGAGTGCTGCAACCTGAACTGCTGCACATGTGTGCAAATTTCTACGTCATTAGTCAACGTTGAAAGTTGTACATCTTGACTTAACTTGCGACGGTGAGATCTATAAATAGAGAAACAACTCCAGGAACCACTTCAATCAGGCCACGGTGTGATCGAGCTCAAACGGTAATCCCTTCGACTCTGCAGTCAGTCACGCAAAACACTAAAGCTCTTTCTCTATATTTCAGGTAATCCAAGAAGAAATCCATATCCACAGAGTGTGAGCAGCGGGGAAGCCAGCAACAACCACTCACCGCACCTTCAATTAGCACAAATCAAACACCAGTTGAATGTGCGTCGGTGGCATAGCGGTTAGGACGCCCCCCCCCGACCATGCACATGGTCCGGGGTTCGATCCCCGGCCATCAACGCACTCCTTTACCTCTTTAAGCCAGTAATAGAACTGGCAAAGAGGGAAGGTTGGGCATGAGGCTAGCAAGCCCATCCTGTAAAAAATAAACACTGCTACAGAAACTTCAAGCCTATAGCTTGAAGCCCTATGTTCCACTGGGAACTTGAAGCAATAAATAAAATAAACACCAGTTGAAAAAATGTCAAAAGTATTACGTATATCACACACACGTTTGGATAACTTTTTCCAGGAGTCAAAATGACTGAATCACTCAACAACTCCTGATTAACGGTAGAGTAAATTGTCAGACAAAAATCACACACACACACACATTCTCACTTACATGTACCGATAGTTAACTGTCTATAGCGCATTGGAATTTCATTCCCGTTAGTTCCATAACATGGTGATAGGATAGCTCTAGTACGTATACAACTTTCTGAAATTTTTGAAGTAGAAAAAGAAGAAAAATGCCTTTTCCGATTCATCATTATCATCTTCATCTTTTGATCACTGCCCACATCAATATTGTCAAGGTGTTTAGTGTCAAGCGTTGTTGAGGGCACAGAGGAATTGCATATCATTTTTAAGCCGTCAATTGCATCATTACAGTTGATACCGAAGAGATCACGTATACGTTGTGCTGCTAATATGTATACTAACTGAGGATCTAGACACGCCAACTTGGAAGGTATTGCATCTGGATAAATAATAATAATAAAAATAATAATAATAGGGTCACCATAGTAGATTATAAAGTATGAAATAAAAAGCATATCAACCAATGTTTTTAAAAGGCTAATATGTCAGAGGTTACTTCATTCACTTATCTAGGGAGCATTGTCTCAACTACAGGAGGAACCGACGAGGATGTCAAATCGAGAATCGGGAAGGCGAGAAACACATTCATCAACCTGATACCAATCTGAAAATCTTCGTCACTCAGCCTGCATCAACAACAAAGTTCGGATTTTCAATACAAACGTCAAGTCAGTCAGTTCTTCTACACGGATCAGAAACTTCGCCAGTGTGTCACAAAGAATATTTCCAACAGTCTGTTGCAGACCTTTATCAACAACAACTGTCTTCGCTCCATATACTGGAGATCAGATGGCCGGAAAGAATCACCAACAAGAAACTATGGGAACAAACAAAACAAGAACCAATCGGTCAACAAATACGCAGGAGAAAGTGGAGATGGATTGGACACTCACTGGCTGAGGAGGCCGCTGGGTGAAATCGCGTGTCAGGCCATAGCTCGAGTGGAACCCGAAAGGGAAGCGGCGAGCGGGACGTCCAAGGGTGACATGGAGGAGATCGTGTGAAGAAGAGTTGAAACAGTATGGATTAACATGGATGCAAGTGAAAAGTACAGCAGTAGACAAAAGCAAGTGGTGACGTGCAGTTGAAGCCGTATGTTCCACTACGAACCCAAGGGAACAATAATAATAATAATAAAAATAAAATTAATGTCAGATAATTGCCGGCCAACTTAGAAAAAAAATACAAGCATAAAACTGAAAGTAATTATTATTATGATTCTGTCTGGATTCAATATATAGAACTTGGCACCGAAGTGCAGCAGTTCGAGTTGCCACGTTCCAAATAGCACACAAAGGTAGACAAGGAGAAGATGAGTGAAGAGTATCAATAGAGTTTTGACAAGTATAATAGTGAAACAGAATGAGTAATGGTAGAAAGGAATATGAAAGATTACAGAGACTGAATACATCTGCGTAAGCCATTGACAACGATTTTGAGCCATGTCACCTATTGTTTCCAGCTATTGATACTTAGAGTCCCGAGGGCCCCAACCCGGAAGTCTGCATCTCCCTACCTGACTCAGTTTAACTGTCAGGGATTTCATGGATTGATGAGGTCATGTTTTTGTTTGGCCACCACTTACTCTTTTCCAATTATTATGATTATGCATATTGAAAATACATTGAACTGATCAAGGCACTCTCTTCGAGCTCATGTAGCCAGCCGGGTAAGAGCCTACAGAGAGTTGTCATCTGAATTTGTGACAACTAGTGGTGTCCGTCAGGGATGTCAACTCACCGTCCCCATTTTTGTTTAATTTCATTGTTAATGTATTAATGCACCTAACCCTAACTGCTGACTTCAGCGACTGAGGGATTGACTTGTTACCAGGGAAAAGTTTCACTGACGTAGAATATGCGGATTATATAGTCCTCTCAACTAGGTGAAGATACTCACAAAATGCACACCCCTCTGAACATCTTGAGCAGCAATCTTCGAATGTTTAGCATGCGACTTGCTTCTGTCAACTGTAAAGTGATTCTTCAGGACTGGACTCACTCATCGACTCACTCCTGGTTTAAAGAAACACAGGGTGTGAAGTGGTAGAGTGTGTTGACCATTTCACTTTTTTGGGGAGTCGGATCAGCCAGCGCCAACGGGTTAATCCCTGACCAAATGTCAGTACGGTTATAGGAGGCTCCTGTGGTATACGCCAACTTACGCCATCTCTGGCTTAGTAGACGTGATATCCGGCTGGCTATCGACCAAAGAGCGTGTGAACTGTTCTGCAGTCCTCTCCATGCTCCTTTTATCGCTGTGAGAACTGGCCGTTGAGGGTGGAAGACATGAAAAGGCTAGCTAGCTGTTGCTTTGAACATAAGTGCATGCGTTCCATCTCTCTTGTGTGTTTAGTTGTATAGTAAGGTGACAAATATTAAGGTTAGGCTTCGGTCGAGTGCTAGGTAGGTAAGGAGGAAAAGTCAATCGACAGTGTTGTGAAGTTACACCGACTGAGATGGTCAGGACATGTGCTACGCATGTCTAGCCTAGCCATCGCCTTCCTCGACTGACGGGCAATGTTAGCTGACTGACATAGGATCCATTCGGAAAAGAGCTAATGGTGGTCAAACCAACACATGACTTCACCAATCAATGAATTCCACTGCAGTTCATTTCAGCCACGTAGGAATGTGTAGACTTCCTGATTGGTTGGGCTACTCGGGACGGTAAAAACCAATGGAGGCTGGAGACAATTGGTGATATGGCTGAAAATCGTTCTCAATGACTGGCATAGATGCACCCACACTGATAAAGAGTCCCCAAAAATGGGGTGAAACAGCTACCTTGTGCTCGAGGCTGCTTTCCAATGATCTGTTTTAACTAACGTTTGTTCGTGATGAAGTCTAACAACTTGTTATCAAATTTATTCTAAAATTGCATGATCTAAACTATTGATCACTAGACAGCATATTATTCTAAATTAATAATTTTCAGCAATGCAAATTCAGCAACGTTATGTGAGATTGAACATCTAGCGATACGGCTCTTTTGGTTGACCGAGTTATCCACTTATCGGCTAGTTCCCTATGATTTTGTGTGACGCACAAGACGATCATATCTTCGTGATCTACTTCGATTAAATGGCATTATGTTGATACAGTTACACTTTGATAAGGCCAAGAATTGGAAGAAGAAGAAACAGATGCCCTTTTGTTCCTTCATGATATAGATTGATTCTTCACCTTGATAACAGATATCATCAGCTGCAGATTATAGACTGTTTGACTGATGGATGTATAGAAGAAGTGATAAAAGTAATAAATTGCCACCTGATCAACTTCTTTTCTTTGAAGGTTAAGTAGTATTTTTGCATCTTGTGTTAATTTGACACATAAATTCCAGTCATTGTTATTCAAGAATTGGTTTTGTAGGGATTTGATTGATTGGTTACAGGATTTCATTATGAGCTGGTATCAGTTAGAGAACCATTGGAAGGCCAAAAAGGGAGTACTGGACAGCTATTTCGTAGCCTAGTTTGAGGCTCTTCAGCATTATGCACTCACCACCAGGGTTCGAACTCACAACCTTCTGGTTACAAGACCAGCGAGCTCGAAGTCCACTAAGCCACTGGTACCCAATCCAATGGTCCTTGAATTCTAACTTCTGCCAATTCACACACGACATAGCGCGACCACTTCACAATGTCTTCTGTTTCGATGAGTTACTGCCTCACCTTCAACCTGCAGTACCCTACTGTTCACGGCTTCCTATTAGAACCCCAGGTTAACTGCCCACATGAATAGGGCCAGTCGCTAGTGCGCATCAGATCAATTTTCAAGTATTGGTTTTTGTAGGGATTTTGTTTGATTGGTTGGAGGATTTCATCATGAGCTGACATCAGGACGAAACAAATGTCCAGTACTCCCAAGTAGTTTTTCAATGGTTCTCTAACTGATGTGAGCTTATGATGAAACCCTGTAACCAAGCAAATCATAGCATTACTTCATAAAGTGCAACCAATATAGCTTTCCACTTCGTAATCATATTCCGTAGAGAATTTTATTCGTTCTATATTCACCTAATATAATTATTGTTAGTCGTGAAAATAAGGCTTCTCAACAGCAAATCTCTATTGCTGATATTAGATGGTTGGAGGTGATCGGCAGGAAGCCCTGTCTGACCTAGACTTCGTGCTTGTTGGCACTCACCAGTCAGCAAAACGTATATCTGCTACTTGAGGGAACAAATGACTAGACATATTACACTAGTTACTAAGTAGTGTCCAATGAAAGTATCTAATACAGTCAAACATGAAGTCCATCGCGAGCCCGAACAACTCAGTGGTAACATCTCTAACTGCAGTACTGGGTGACACGTGTTAGAATCTCAGAAAGGACGTGATTGTTCCTCCAAGATTGCAGATACGCCTTGCTGTGACTAATGAGTGACAACAAGCACGAAACCTTAGTCAAGCAGGGATTCCTAGCGATTACCACCTACCACCTAATAACAACAATCCTGAGTGTGCCGTGATGGCGAGCCACCTAGTGGCATGGTGGCCACATTGCAAACTTGACTGATAGAACTCCGTCTGCCCTAAACAAAGGACTACACGTATGATACTAGTTAAAAACCAGTGTCCAATGAAACTTGCTATTACATCCTGTTCTGTGTCTTATTTTCACCTGACTTCAAGATTGCCTAAAAGTTCCGATATCTTCCTCACATCATCTCTTCCATATCACCCACACGCCCAACTTGCAGCTTTCTGTTTATGTTCCACTCGACGGCCTAAATCACACGGCATTTCACTCAACGCGCTCCTCCTCAGGGTATGACCAGTTCATCTCTATTTTCTTCTGCATATTTGTTGGGCGATAATAGTTTGTTGCTTGGTTATTTTGTCGCCTGAATCCCTCATTGTTTATCCTTTCTGACCGGTCATTTTATCTTCAATATGGAGCATGGTCTGCATTAGCCCGTTGAAAATGCTTTTAGTTACGCATGAGCTAGTTGTCTGAGCCACATGGAATCCCCCTGACTCATTTGGCATAAGTGCTAAAAATCGTGTTCCTTATGTGGTGAGAGCTGTCTGCTAGCCAAAATTGGGGTAGACAGCAATTCACGTCAATGTTTACATCCCAAATATTGGTTATGAGAAAAAATCAGAACAAAGACTAAATCAACTACCAATCACAGCAGACTTTGCGTGGGTGGATACGATTCGCAGATATTATGGTTTGACCTTCAAAGAAATGGCCACAAGAGATGACAGAATAACCTTGAGCAAGAAAACAACCAATCAGAAGACACCGTTTCTCTGCTAACAATAACGAATAATAATGTATATAAAAATCTATAAATATCTGTTGATTTCCTCAATAAACGATCTGTTGCCTAGCCCTTGTCTTCCGTCCTAACGCTTATGCTGAGTGTGATAGATTTCCACACTAATTTCAGAGGAAAGAAGGTCTCTGTTGTCTTTCTGTGTCGCCTGTAGCTGAAACGATGCTGTAATATCATTATTTTATTCCTTCTGCACTCCCAGTGGGATATGGTGCTCCAAGCTTGAGTTTTGAAGTTCCAGTAACAGTGGTCTCTTCTTTTGCAGGGTCGGAGTTGCTAGCCACACACCCTGCATCCCCCCTCTTTCTCTCTCTTTACCAGGTTACTACTACTGGCTAAATGCACCGGACGGGAGCTCGAACCCTGGACCACGTGAGGCGTGGTTGACGAGCATACTACCACTGAACCCACTGACGCATAATACACTAACGACAGCTATTCTAGTAGTAAGACACAAAGGTATAAAATCTACGCCTGCCTACAAGAAGGGAAGGGAAAGTGTTACTGAATTCGATAAAAAAATAAAGCCTTACTCTATTTTTGTCTGATAACTATCCATCCATAGATGTTCTTCTATATGACATGTACTTACCATGGGCCGATCTGATATCCACACTGCCATCACTGTCTGACTTAATGAAAGTAGTCGTAGTATTGTACAAATTACTCATGTCACCTCCACGAGAATAATAATTCCTTGATTTTTCGAATGCCCCATCATCATCATCATAGCCGCATGATATCGACGATGAGGCTTGCAGCGATAACTTTGGAGGTTGTAATGATGATGAAGACGATGATGGCATCAGTAAGCTTTCGCTTGTTTCCATTGCATCTATCGCTGACTTATCATCACTGACAATATTGTCATCATTACTATTAGTTGAGGTTATTGTTGATAATGTCGGTTGAGTTGTTCTTGTTGAAGTAGTGTCAGTACTGGTGATAGCTGTTGTTGTTGTTGTTGTTGTCAGCGCTGAATCTTTATCATCAGGGAGCATATTCAGTTTATTTTGTAGATAGAATTGTAACAGACCACGAACAAACTTGACAGGAGACAAACAAAAATGATGGAAGTGGTAACATTAGAAAAAGTAAAACAATCAATCATGCAAGAAAATGAAATCTACAGAAAAACTGTTAATCACATAATGCTGACTGACTGGTTTCAACAAAAAACTTAGAATAAACTAATATGGAATTTTGTTTGTGTGTGTGTGTGTGTACATTAGATTTATAAAGTTTAGATAATTACGTAATATAAGCATTATTCGCCTTGAAAACAAACGTAAATTAGATAGAAAATAAAATAGAATTGGTTAAGTGAATTGGATGACGTAATACAGTTGAGTAGAATTCAGAGTAGGTCAGGTTGGCAACAGTGTTAATGAGTGCTGGTTAAAATTATATAAGGGTGGGGTTAGAGAATAATACAGTTGAAAATAAGTAAGTCAATCGGATGACGTAACATAGTTGACTAGAAATTGGACTTAGAACACGGATGTGCAGCAGTTCGAGTTACCACACTCCCTCCCCTCCTTGTAGCACACGATGCAAGAGAACAGAGTAAAAAGAAATGCAAAATAGAGACAGTAAACAGAGATATAAGCCAAAAAGAGTAGTAGTATCGAAGAACAATATAATTTTATCGCATATTATAACTCACAAGGAGTGGATGCATCTCCACCATCTATTGAGAACGATTTTCAGCCATATTACCAATTGTCTCCAGCCTCTATTGATTCTCACCATCCTAAGGACCCCAACGAGTCAGGAGGTCTACACCCCCCTACGTGATTGGTTGGCTTAAACTAACTGTTGTGGACTTCATTGACTGATGAAGCAGTGTTTCGGTTCGACCTCTACTGCTTCTTTTCTAACCTGATCAACCCTATGTCAGTCAGCTAACACTGACCGTCAGTCAAGGAAGGCGATGGCTAGGCTAGGTATGCGTAACACATGTCCTAGTCATCTCAATCGATGTAACTTCACAACCTCGTCTATTGATTTCAACTCCTTACCCCCTTAGCACTCACCACCTTATTACACCACTTAACACACACGGGAGATAGAACGCAGGCACCTATGATCAAAGACATTTAGTTGGTCTATTCATGTCTTCCACTTCCAGTGGTTAGGTCTCACAGCCACAAAGGAGGACAGAACGAACTGCTGAGCAGAACACATGCGCAAATTAGAGCATGAAGTAAATGTGAATTGTTAGTCTTGTTTAGTAGTCCATTATTGAAACTGCTGTTTATGAACGTTAAGTTTAAAGGTGATAATGCAATATAATACAGACGTGGGTGTTCCGATCTACCACTTAAACGAACTAATATTGAGATGTACTTTCAATGTCCAGATCAAGTTCAATAACACGCTCTATAGACAAAGAGATGGAGTGGTGCTGGTATTGCTATTGCGTATGTGTATGCAAGGAGTCGGTCGCCAATGCAAGGGTGACATGGAGGAGATCGTGTGGAAAGGAGGAGACGAGAGATTATGGTCAATCATGAGGTCAACCAGCTGAAGATAACGGCAGAAAATAGAACAAAGTGGAGGCCATAATAATAATAATAGTAAATGAAAAATCCCCATAGTGAAATCAAAACAAGATCAATGCAACTACATTGATAAGATGAACACCCTACTGGAAGATCGTTCCAAGTTTCAAAAGTTAGGTAACAGTAAAGATTCGAATGAAGCAGCAGAACGCCAGTTCGTTTAACACTTTGAATTAAAAAATGAAAATCTAATTGACAGTTCCACCTTCGACGCTATTAAACCCGCCGGAACTCATACGCCTAGACTTTATGGCTTACCCAAGATACATAAGCAGGGAATTCCCCTACGACCAATCCTGGACATGTCGAACTCGCCCTTCCATTTAACTGCCAAATGGTTAGTAAATCTGTTAGAACCGCTACATCGCCAGTTGTTTAAATGTAGTGTAAAAGATGTCTTTGTCTTTGTTGAAAACATTAAAGATATGAACCTAGCAGACAAAACTATGTTATCGTTGGACGTAACATCACTATTTACCAACGTCCCCCTTGTAGAAACTGTCGACTACATATGCGAGCAACTCGTAGAAAATAAAATATAAATTGGGATCACACCAAGAAAATTGAAAGAATTACTACTAAAATGCACTATGAACGTTCAATTTGTATTTAATAAGGAGTATTACCGCCAAATAGATGAGAGTGTTATGGGTTCCCCCCTTGGTTCCTTATTAGCTGACATATTTCTATCTAAATTGGAAAATGGTCCTTTAAAAGAGATACTAAACAAACTCGATTATTATTGTCGATATGTTGACGTTACTTTTATCATTTGTAACAATAATCTGGATAGACAACACCTGCTCCAAGTCTTCGATAAGGTACACCCAGCTGTTAAATTCACTTGTGAAGAGGAACTCCAAGGTAGCATTCCATTTCTGGATGTTCTTCTTACAAAAAGAACAGACGGTACCTTAAAGAGAAACATCTATAGGAAAGCGACGTGGAATGGACAACACACCCACTTCCATAGCTTCATACCTATACAATATAAGCGCAACCTAATTCGTTGACTCAACCATAGGATTAGACCCATATGTACCGACGACTGCATTGAAGATGAGATAAGAAATCTTACAAACGCCTTGCTACAAAACGACTATCCTACCAACTTTGTAAAGAAGTACATCCATGAAACTTCACATAAAACTGAGCGAGACACAGTAAGAAAAAACTTTACTTAAATTTACAATTCAAAGGCAATATATCCAACGACATATTAAACCGTAGATTAACAAGATCAAATGAAAGAACTTTCAGTGCCGCAAAACTGCATGTCACTTTCTCAACCAAACCGATATTGACACTGTGCATTAAGGATAGATTACCCAAAATGGCGACATCAATTTGTGTATATAAATTCAACTACTCCTGTGGAGCTAGTTATATAGGTCGTACCCAAAGGAATTTATCTTTACGCACTTGTGAACATATTCCTGTTTGGCTTGGGAAAAGAGCAACCAAACCATTAAATAGTGCAATTCTGTCTCATCTAGTGGACAGCGAACACAGCATCAAAGTAGATGAGTCATTTACAGTTGTGTATCGAGTACCGAACAATCTCCCCAAAGACACACGATTACGCCTCCTAGCCATAGCTGAGGCTTTAGAGATTAATAAAGAAAGATCAGACTTATGTGTACAGAAAAAACTTATTCACTCTGTCTGTCTACCCTGGCCCACTATAAGGTCACCAGGATCATAATTTTCCGTATTATTATCATCATTATTACCATTTTGTGATATCATGTCTTTATTATCCATTTCTACACCCGGTTTATTTCACCTCATTGTTACCCTTAATTTTTGTAAACCTTTGTGATTCTGTAACATCTTATTACAATTTAGCCTCTTTATTCTATCATTAGACATTATCGGTCAGCCCTCGCATTCAGTGTCCCCTTTGTTAATGTGTGTTTGTATATATTTTGTGGTTATCGCATTTCTCTCACCCCAATGACACTTGTATTCTGTTGACTATAAAACAGCACTATATCACCAAATTGTTCATTCACACTTCATCATATTTTTTCTGACTATACACCCTATACACATTTGATTGACTATGTTAACAAATGGACTATCATCTCCACTTACACATGCACCCCAATACAATTTCTGATATTATTTTCATTTGCCTTTATTGGCTATATCTACTCTATTATTCATGGATTTATAAGTGTAGAGCCTGAAGAAGTTATCGAAAACAATTGTTTGCTCAAAATCTTGTTTTAATAATAATAATAGTAATTCTTACTCCTTCGTATTTTTGCTCATTATAGCTCTTTTAGTTATATTTTCTCTACCTTTGTGTGGTACATGGAGTCAGAGCAACTTCAACTGATGCACTTCTGTGCAAGATTCTACGTCGAAACTCAGTCAGTCGGTGAGAACAGCTGAGACTCCTCATGACTACAGATAAACCGAAGTACAAAGCGAGTATACTACTTTCTTCCAATGCTTACTGAAGTCGGTTAGTTTTTTTTGTTATTGTCAAAACTTTCAACAGATACATAAAACACACCAATCAGGAGGAAGACTTCGACAAGTTAATAACACAGAGAAAACCGACTACTTACTGTACTTTTTTCCTCGTCAGTTGATGCAGTATCTGTCATAGGCGATAAATGCGATGTAGGAGACAATGATGGTTCATTCATACGGGGAATTTTTTTCACCGGATTATTATATAAAGATTTCACTGCTTTTGGTATCTGAAAAATGTCATTAGAGAAAAGAGTAATAAATTAAAAAAATTGATGCGGAGGATGCACACAACATGGCATAGCATATACAACATGTTATAAATGCGTCACGAAAAAACCAATGCTGAATTACGGCATAAAATATTTGGAAGCCATCCCCCGCCCAAAAAAGCTCGACAGTGGACAGCTCATCATTCATTTATTTATTTTTTGATTACAGCTTGATGCCACACCGTATTTTCAGTACAAGTATGGAATTTTCAGCATGGATATCGGTAGCCCAAATTTTGCAGGCCAACCATAGATATCGGGTGTGCGTCGGCGGGGGATCGAACCCCGGACCATGTGCATGGTCGGTGAGAGTCCTAACCACTGTGCCACCGACGCAGTGAGTGATGCTCACTAGTGACTAGCCTTATTCAGGCAGTTAACCTGGGGTTCTAGCGGGAAGCCGTGACCAGTGGAGTGCAGCAGGTCTTGTGTGAGGATGAATACTCGCCGAAGACATTGGCTAGCGGTCGCGCTAGGTCGTGAATTGGCAGAAGTTGGAATTCATGAGCTGGCCATTGAAGAGTCGGGTCCCAGTGGCTCAATGGTCTACGAGCTAGCTAACCTTGTAACCAGAGGGTCCTGGGTTCGAACCACCCTGTGTTGGGTGCGTACTGCTGAAGAGTCCCGAACTAGGTTGATGAAACAACTGTCGAGTACTCCCTGGCAGCTTTTCCAGTGGTTCTCTAACTGATGTCAGCTCATGATGAAATCCTCCATGCAAGAGTGAGTAACATTTAGAACACATATGGCGGAGAGTTGTTATGTTTGCTTCCAGGAATACACAACATTTGGTTGAGTGTCAGTTATAAAACATTCAGGAGAGCACATTTTGTGAACCAAGGGTACAACAAGCCAGGAACAGTAGTTACCTCGTGAATTAGGATAAACTGCCGCCCATCGAGGATAGAGCTTCTTCTTCTCCCTAAGTTTACTGGTAAATTCTTGAGAACCAACAGGTTGTCAACTTTTTAAATATTCGCGCCAGGGTAAATAATACTATTAGAGGTTATATTTTACTAGATTTAAACAAATTGAGTTAAGAGGAATTACCGTGCAATATATATGTATACTGATGTAGGTTTCCGGTGGCTCAAGTTTTAAGCAAACCGCCAAAAAAGTGTATTTGCAACACGAACAAGCGATAGATAGTAGTGTATTGACAAAAAATATGCACACATTAGTTATCCACAAAAAAAGTAGGCTGAAAACATTTATGGGCCGATGATAAGTGAGTAGTAATCAACGTGCTGAAATCTGATTGGTTGGTTGACTAATTAACTGACTGACTGACTGGTCATCATGTGATTAGTGTTTAGTCATTTTTAGCAATCTGCTGAACTCTAATCATTTAGCTATCTGATTAACGTTCAAGAAATTAATATTTGCATAATTTAAAGTTTTGAATGATAGACTAACGACCTAGATTGTAGTTACGCGTCACAGAAGAACTTATGAATAAAAGTGTTCAACGACTGACTCATAAGTAATAATTCGCAGTAATTTATATATTTAGTTTAATTGGTGGATGATGACTAGCAGTGGAATCCAGAATAACGCGCATTTCGTCCTATTTGGGACTCGTCAACTAACTGGATGTACTTGTATTCCCCAGTGAGTCAGTGATTATGTTCCCATTGAGGCTCGAACCCAGTGCCCATAGTTTCAAACGCCAGGAACATCCAGATGACGAGTCACAAATAGGACGAAATGCGCTTCATCCTGGATTCCACTGCTAGTCACCCACCATCCACCAATTAAATTCTAATTACATGCCCAGACACCGTCGAAGCATCTACACACGAAGCCGACATGTCAACCTGAGACCGAGCACTTCGGTCCAATCAATCGACAGGAAAATCTAAAATTCAATTAAATATATATTTAATTGTCTGAGAACTCTATAACTCTAGGGTGAATAACAAAAATGAGAATAAATAAGGTTTAAACTAATGTGCATATGATTCCATCCACACGGAGCCCTATACAAAAATACCCTTTTAGATGGTAGTGTTATGTACTATCTTTTGACTAGGTAATAAATGAAGCATTACAGCTTACAATTGACAAGAAATGAACACCATGTTCCCATAACTCATCAAGATGTTGTTAACTAGTTTAATATTTCCGCGTGACACTGACTTCAGTTATACAGTCACTCCAAAACCATCATGGCTTACTTGGACGAGAGTTTCGTTCTAGCTGGGGGCTCGTCATCGGTACGCACCGACCGGGGTTCCAACGAAGGACTTTCTGGTTATTACAAGTCAAGCTAGTAGAGCATTCACAACTACTGAGATCCGATCCAACGACCCATGAGTTCCAACTTCTGATAAATTCACGATATTTCGGTGTAGTTATGTTCCCTGAGCTGGATGGTTTAGTTGCTAAGCTTTCATTGCCTTACTAGGCAACGTAACCTTGGAGAATACTTCAGTGTGAATGCGTAGTAAACTTTTCAAAATAACTACTATCAAAAGTGGAACGACAACTGCTCCGAAAAGAATTAAGAGTTACAACCTCAAGAAGACGCTTCAAAAATTTGATTTTTTCGCTGCCCCTGAATCATCATCACTCAAGTCATCAAGGTTAAATGAAAAAAACAAACAGAAGAAGTGATACGCCAAACAACTGTACTTATAATTAAACAGAAAAAAATAACACACATCACTCAACAATCTCAAGAACTAGAGGACCTCGAAAAATTGAAAAATGAGAAAGACATCATACTAGCAGCTGACAAAGGAAGGGCCATAGCAATCAAGGAGAAAGAATACTTCATTTGTCAAGTCCCTTGTTTGGTCTACACTGAATTCTATCAGTGAATTTCGTATTGTGGCCACCGTGACACTAGGTGGGTCGCCACCACGGTGCACTGTGAAGTGTTGATATTAGATGGTAGGTGGTAATCGGTAGGGATCCCTGCCTGACTTAGGTTTCGTGCTTGTTCTCACTCACCAGTCACAGCAAGGCGTATCTGCAATCTTGAGGGAACTCATATCCCTTCTTAGATTCGAAAGCATGTCCCGATTTTCCCCCAGAACTGTATAGAACCAATCGCTAGTGAGCTTCAAATTAATTTTCAATTGTAAGTTTGCAGGGATTTGATTGGTCAGTGATTTGATCACAAGCTGATATCAGTCAGAGAACCAATAAAATCCCTGCAAAACAAACATTTAAAAATACACCGAAGAAAAATGGATATGGATTGAACATACGCTGAGGGAGGAGATCATCATTGAGTTATAATACAACACCCAAGTCCCCCCCCTGAATGAGATTCACACAGGTGTTCAAGGATGACATAGAGAAGATCGTGTGAGAAGGAGGGGGAATGATATCTTATGGGCAGTCACGAAGTCAGCTGAAAGAGACTGTAGAGAACAGAGTGAAATGGAAATGTTTTACTACTGAAGCCCTACACTTCGCTCGGAACCCGACCCATAGCTGCTACCTTGATGTGGTGGTTGGGCTGGTACATCGTGATGACCCAACAAGCTACACTGGCTGGAACCAATGTTTCTGCAGGTCCTATCATACCAGGAAAGTTGTTAAGATAGCGATATTGGACTAAAAGCAATAACCGGCATTGTATAAGAATCTTTCTTACACTATGCTGGGGGTCTGAGGGTGAAGTCGTACTGCTGGGGAACAGGGATGTAACAGCAGTGAGGTGTTTCCCTCAGTGACCAGCATGCCATCTATGCTGTCTCTCCACTCCGAAGAGAGGGGTTAGAAAAGGTCGACCCCAAACATTGTTCATCCCGACTTACCATACGGTGGTCCATAACCAGCGGTAAGCTTACTAATACGGAACCAACCAAGAAACCAGTTCATACAGGCTGTGTGTGACCGGCTGGCCTTAGGCAGTTGTCCCCTGGGCTCTGCGGTCAAGCAACACTAACCCTCTCTCTGTTTCAGGTACTCGAAGAATCAATCAACTTCAACGTTGTGGGCAGCCGGGAAGTAACAACCGCTTTCAAACTTTCAAGAGCACACGAAGTCTCCGCGAGCATTATTCTCCTTTACCCACATCACTTTCATCATCTACAGTTAGTACTATTCTTCAAGTTAGTGAGGCACCTTCACTTCACTCTGTGACCAAAAATAACGATGAGAGCGATAGAAACACCCCAGATAGCCTATTAAAGCCACGTCGCCAACTTCATATAGGAGCATTTAACGTCAGGACCCTCTGCCAAATCGGACAACAGGCATCACTAGCAAGAACTCTGGCATCTCGAGCCATGGATGTATGTTGTGTTTCGGAGACACGCATACAAGACCCGAGTGTGGTCATTCACTTGACCTCACCCGGTCAACAAGGTGAATCTACAAAATTCACCTTGAGGGTGTCAGGAGACCCCTCAGCTAGCTCACGAGGACTCGCAGGTGTGGGGATAGCATTGAGTGTTAGGGCGGAAAAATCACTTCTTGACTGGATCCCAGTAGATAGTCGTCCAGGCATCGTTGAAGCATTTGCACAAGAAGCCGACAGACATGTCAACCTGAGACCGAGCACTTCGGTCTCCAATCAATCGACGGGAAAATCTAAAAAATTCAATTAAATAATTAATATGACCCGTTACACAAGAGGCAATGGCTCTCGTGGCCCAAGTGGTCCAGTAGATAACGCTTTGGCGTTTGAAACTCATGGGGGACAGGGTTCGAGCCTCGGTGGTGGGAACATCATCACTGACTCACTGGAGAATGCAAGTACGTCCTTCCAGATGACGAGTCCCAAATAGGACGAAATGCGCGTTATCCTGGATTACTCCATTGCTAGTCACCATCCACCAATTAAATTCTGATAGTTATGTGTGCACAGGCTTTCTTTGATTGACAAAGTAGAATATAAAAGTATATATATTATTTTTTATTCCTTCACGTTCCCAGTGGAACATAGGGCTTCAAGCTACAGGCTTGAAGTTTCTGTGGCAGTGTTTATTTTTACAGGATGTGGTTGCTAGCCTCATGCCCAACCTTTCCTCTTTACCAGCTATATTTCTGGCTTAGCGTGGTAAAGGAGTGCGTCGGCCGGGGATCGAACCCCGGACCATGTGCATGGTCGGCGAGCGTCGTAACCGCTATGCCACCGACGCACGTATGTATATTAAAGTACCTCGAAAATATTGACAATACACATACTCAAAAAGGATTATGTTTTACAAAAAAAACAAAAAGCAAAAAAAAAAAAACAAAAAACAAACAGGCTCTGGATAACTTACAACAATTCTCATATGTTTATCAAAGCCTCGATTATTTCTTCGTCTAGCACCTAGACGTCTATTCAATCGCCATATATGACGGTTATCCAATATCTGTCTTTTATCTTTAGCATCATACAGGACAGTATCTAAAAGACTTGAAATAGCTGTATTCGATAAATCCCTTCGTTTGTCTTCATCGGCCTCTTCTTCTTGCGCTTTCTCCTGGTCTATTTCATTTCTACATCTTTGTACAGTACGCATCAAATCGGCGAGGATAACACTCTCTTCATCTGGTGTATACGTGAGTTCATACGGGGGGATATGTTCAAGTATTTGTGTCATTTCATCAGGTTCCATAGATCGATCATTATTATTATCACTACTAGTGTTACCATCAATATTCTTATATAACTTGGTCCATAATTTCATTCTTTCCGTTAAACATATCGATCGAGCTAGATAACGTTCTGTTGTATGCTCTGTATGATTTGGACACATCCATCTATCAGAACGTGGTGGGAAATGTGACAATGGTGGATCCAGACACTCCAAATGAAAACATGCATTACAATAATCACACGGTAGTAAAGGCGCATAGAAACATGTCCTATAATATACAAGTAAATAAACAAAAGAAAAATATACATATATATATCACATAATCATTAAGCCTGGTAAAGAAGAGAAAAGAAAAACCAGTGAATAATGTATCATTTATTCCAATGGAACTAATTGAATTATGACTTGGTTTCAGTAACAGAATCATTGAAAAAAATCACCAGAGAGTACTGCAGAGCTGTTTCGTCCTAGCCCAGGACTCTTTAACAGGATGCGCCTGTAACCTCGTAACCAGGGATTGACCTCAGGACATTTAGGTTACGACGAGTTGAGTCCGCTGATCATTTTAATCGTTAACTGGATGATGATTTCACGATATATATAGCTATCATTGTCGTCCGGGGGGAAAATTTCTCCTGAGACCCAATTTTGCGGACACCATTGATTATGACTTCTCTCGAGCAACTTAATTCTGTCGTCAGTCGGCCACCCAGTCAGCACTAGATTAATTTTCAAGTTACAGGATTTCATCATCAGCTGACATCGGTTAGAGAACCAATGGGAAACCACGAGGGAGTACTGCCAAACAGCTGTTTCATCAGCCTAGTTTGAGACTAACCTTTTAGCAGTACGCAGCCACCACCACAGGGATTCGGACCCAGGACATTCCGGTTACAAGGCAACCATTAAACCACTGAGATCCGATCTAATGGCCAACCCATGAATTCCAACTTCTGCCAATTCACGATATAACGCGACCACTAGTCACTGTTATAGGCGGTGAGTACCTATCCTTACTGGTCACGACTACTCCATTAGAATCTAGGTAACCACCTACCTGAAATTGTTTTACTCGTGTGTTTGGTTGTGTTCTGTAATATTTCACTTAATCTGGGTTTTTACTTACTGAGTTAAATTTACTATTAAGTTTCTTGATCGTTTGTTGATGTCATAATTTTACTTTTACTTTTCACCTCCATTCTCTTGAAAATTTCATTCATATTATGTGAATAAATTCAACACTCTGTTGTTCAATCTTGTATTTTGTCTTTAGTCAACCCTCGTTTCTAAGTGAAATCTGGACTTTATTCCCCATGCCCACCTACCACTCTTGTCTAATTATAATATAAATAGTTAGCATTTTAACACTGAATCATTTGATTGCATGGGGGATTTAATCATGACGTGACATCATTTGGAGAACCACTGGAAAATCTGGGAGTACTGGACAGCTGTTTCGTCCTAGTTTGGGACTAACTCTTCAACAGTACGCACCCACGAGTATAGAGGTTCGAACCCACAACCTTTTGGTTACAAGGCTAGTGAGCTCGTAGACCATTAAGACCCTGGGACCCGATCCAACGGCCAATACATGGATTCTAATTTCTGCCGATTCATGACTTAGTGCGACCACTTCACAATGTCTTCTGCTTCGATGAGTCACTGCCTTATCTTTAACCTGCTGTACCCTACTGGTCACGGCTTCCCATTAGGACCCCAAGTCACTGCCTGAATAGGGCCAGCCGCTAGTGAGTATCAGATTAATTTTCAAGTATAGGTCTTGTAGGGATTTCGTTTGGTTGGTTGGAGGATTTCACCATGAGCTGACATAAGTTAGAGAACTGGACGCTTAGCCAGTGGTCAAATCAGTAAGACAGGAAGGAAGGAAGGTCGGCTGGAAGTGAGACTAGCAACTTCACCGCTCCCCCCACCGCTAGGAAAGGAACAACATCACTCTGCCAGTGAAATTTCAAAACTCAAACTTTTAAGTCCTACAACACACATTTCAGTTGCGGGGGATGGGGGAGGGTGGTGGTGGACTCGACTCAAAGGAAATAAAGACAAATGTAAACTTACCTAATACAAACATAACAACGTCTTATAGGTTCTGGCACCATACCGTTCTCCAGTTCAATAATACCCTTATTTTTCCGTTCCGTTAAAGTTTTATATGAACCTTTGACACAAAAAGAAGGTAGATATAAATAAACAAGAATGAAAAACAGGAAAAAAACAAAACAAGAATCTATTCCAGTTCTCACTGATTCCCAGACTATTGCGAATAATCACATTTAACAATAGGTTGATTTCCACTTCCAGATGTGGCTCGTACGTAGGAGGCCTAAGGAGGAGTTAACTTTCAATCTGTGAGTAGTCAAGGGGTTCAAAACCTCTTTCACCTACCTAGGCCTCACCTTCGTTGGTCTTCGGAGAACAAGTGGAGAGGTGGGTAAGGAGTACTGCTCAGCGCACAGACTATGCGTGAAAACCGTCAGCTAATTCGAATTGCTAAAGGAGGCTTAACAATTTAATTCCAAAGGCAAAAAGTGAAATACAACAGCGCTGTATAGATGCAAACAGGCGGAAACTATTTAGATTATGGGATTTATGGTAATTTCGATTGATTTAATTTGTAACAGTTACAGGTTACACCACGGTGTGATATGAGTAAGAGAACCATTGAAAGCCACCAGGGAGTACTGGACAGCTGTTTCATCCCACGAGTTTGGGACTCATCAGCAGATTTAGTCATGAACCAATTATCAGTTGACAAAGAACTCGCGAATCACTGAATTCCGACACAAGTGGCTGGAATGGCAACGTGGCCTGTTTGCAGCCTCGAGGGGGGGCATATAATTTCTCTTGCTCAGTTAGTTTTAATCTATTAAAATATGACCTTTAATGGTTAATTTCTACTCTCTCTCTCTCAAGTATTTAAAGCATCTCTAACCCGCTGATTCGAAAGTTTCTATTAAACCGGTAGGTGGAAACTTTCCCAGCCCTTCCTTTTTTTAAAAAAAATCAACTTATTATGAGTTTATACATGTGGGTGAATAGTTGCATTTTATAAGACTACACATAAAACGTTATAAATACTCAAACAAAGCCGCAAACGAACACTTGAGAATACTCGCCGAAGACATTGGCTAGCGGTCACGCTATGTCATGAATTGGCAGAAGTTAGAATTCACGGGCTGGCTGGTCACTGGATCGAGTCCCAGTGGCTTAATGGTCTACGATCTTGCTAGCCCTGTAACCAGAAGGTCGTGGTTTCCAACCCCTGTAGTGGTGGGTGCGTACTGCTGAAGAGCCCCGAACCAGTCTGACGAAACAGCTGTCGAGTAACTACAAATCAATAACTGAGAACTTATTCTAGTGCTTACTAGTGACTGACTGATTGATTGACTATAGGATGAAGGTGCCTGGAGCTCTAATGAGAAGTCGTGACCGCCAGGGGTCCCCCATGAGGTCAAAAGTAAGTGCAAACACTCACTAATGACATTGGCTGTTGACTGTGGGGCTATGTTTCGCAAACCAGCAGAATATGAGAATTCATAGCCCAGCAGTCTATTGCATTGCATCCCAATGACTGAATGGTTAGCGGACTTGTTTCGTAGCCTAAAAGTCCTGTGTGTTAGGCATCCTCAATGGAGCAATGGGTGTGTACCTCTAAAGAGTCCTAAAGTAGGCCAAAACAGCTATCGATTAATAATCCATGGTGGTTTTTAATGCTTCCCTAACTGATATCAATCCGAGATCTAACTTGAGATTTATTATAGCTTTGTAACTGAGCGATAATTTAAATAAAAACAAGTTAATAAAAGTAACTACATGGTGAAAAACACAACAGTGGACCCTTCCAGTTACTAGACTACACTCATTGACCATTCAGCTACTTGGGCTAGAGTTCTATGACCCATGCATTTCAACACTGTCACCTCGACATATAGAGCTGCCCTCACCATTACCTTCAACAAGCGTCCATCATGTCAAGGTTAACTTGACATGATGGACTTCTTACTAAAGCTTCACGATATCCGACCGGTAGCCATCAATGAGCTGGAGATTGGTCTGAAAACCCAAAGACCCCAGGTTCGGGGTGCATTGTCTTGGGTGCTTACTGATGAAGAGCCTCAGAGTGGGACGAAACAGCTATCCACAGTACTCTCTAACTGATGCCAGTTCGTGAACAAATCTAACATGTGTAACAATTATTTTTGTAAAGTTTCTTGGTCAAATATAAGTCAACCGATTTTTTTTCTCTCTGTCTTAATATTTCGCATTTTAATGCTGTGTGAGGTATATATTTAGGACTTTCTCCAACTTCCTAGTATACTAAGATTCTGCTCTATAACTCACTGCTTTAAAAGTTCAAATATTGAACCACACTAATTGTTTAAATGAATTTTTGATTTTCCCGCTATTTGATTGGACCAAAATGTTTGGCGGGAGCATGAAAAATTCTCTAGGTTTCGTGTCTCAGTCGGGACAGCATCATCATCACCAATTATTCACTGGGGCTTGCTGGTACATCCAGATGACGAGTCCCAACTAGGATGAAATACATGCCTTAGATTCCACAGCTAGTCACCACCATACATCAATTTTTTTTTATTTTAAATTTAAACACTACAAACTGTACTACTACTACTACACAAACTCACCAGGAAGTTTTACACTAGGCATCAAGTCTTTTGGCAGTTCAAATTCTTTTGGATTTTGATATTGAGCATACTCAATCACTTCCCATAATGATCTTAATTCAGATTCTTCAATATCAGCAACATAAGCTGAGTCGCCCCATGTACTTGATCGGCTAGATCTACCAGCACGACCACCACCACCACCACCGCTACCGCCACCACTACCAACCAGGTTATTTTGTTCGCTTACAGCAGCAGCTGAACGAAATGCATAATGACGTTTACTTTTTTGAGATTGTAGAAATTGTTGTAATGAACCTTGTGTATGAAGAGAATGACTACTAGTAATAGTATTATTATTATTACTATTACTATGACTACTCGCGTTGCTAGCATTATTACTGACGACAGATGTACCAGTTGAATTGGATTGTACACCTACACCCACAGTCACGACTGTGGTTGTTGAAGTTGTAGCTGTTGAAGAGGATACTGAAGATGACGAGGAGGAGGATGCAGAAGACGATGGATGATCTTTTTGGCGTTTTTGACCTCCTCCTCCTCCTCTACCAGAACGTGAAGAAGAACCTGTTTCAGTAGCAATAGTGGTTTGACTACTTGATGATGAAGCTTTATCTTCTTCATCCTTTTTTTAAAAAAGAAAACAGATTTATGTATGATATAAATTTAACTTTAGATAAAGCGGTTAGAAGACGTAATTTGTCTGAATCGTGTAATGTGGTCGGTGGGTCGGTTTTCGACATAGAACTATGCACATATGTGCGGCAGTTCAAGTCGCCACACTCCCTCCCTGTAGTACACAAAGCGAGAAGAAAGTAGAAGAAATGCATAATATAGACAGTAAACAGAGGTATGAGACAAAGGAATAGTAATAACGGAGAACAAAACAGTTTCATTGGAAATCATAAGTCACAAGGAGTGGATGCATCTGCGCCACTGAGAACGATTTTGTGCCATGTCACCAATTGTTTCCAACCATTGGTTTTTACCGTCCCGAGGACCCCAACCAGTCAGGAAGTCTACACCTTCCTACGTGGCTTAGACTAACTGTCGTAGATTTCATTGACTCGTGCCATGTTTTGGTTTGACCGCTGCTAGCTCTTTTCCAGCCTGGCCCTACATCAGCTAACATTGCCCGTCAGTCGAGGAAGGCGATGAATAGGTATACGTAACACATGATCTAACCATCTCAGTCGATGTAATTTCACAGCCTCGTCGATTGATTTCCTCTCCTCCTTACCTAGCACTGGACGCCTAACCTCAATATTGCTCACCTTATTATACCACTTCACGCGGGAGATAGAACGCAGACACCTATGATCGAAGACAGCTCATCTTTTCATGTCTTCCGCTCTCAATGGCCAGGTCTCACAGCCATAAAGGAGGACGGAGCGGACTGCATATTTGCGCAGCACACAGGACAGTATCTCTTATAATTACCACAATTTCTGCCCAGTTCGGTACAAAACAGCCTTAGTCAACTAGGTGCCTCTTCAATAGAATCCAACAAATATGCACTGAAGACACACTTGATGGAGAAGAAAGAAAGTTGACACAAACTCTGGTCGATAACAATTATCCAGACAAATTCATCAGGAGATATAAAGTAGTTAGAACACCAAGACCCACTCTATAACTCGCCGCTAAGAAAGACGTGTACATCAAGCTACCCTATATGGGGCATCATAGCAGCTTGATAACTAGACAAAGACTGAACGCTGCTGCTGTTAAAAGGACTTTTTATGCAGCCAATATCATGATAATAGAGAATGTGAAGCCAATATATTCATCTAAGCCCTTCGGACATGCGAAAAAAGGTGTCACATCCCACTGTATTTACCTATATGAATGTACGTGTGGACACATACATAGAAGGGAGGACTCATCGATCTCTGCAAGCAAGGGCTGGCTTCACAACATATTCCTAAATGGCTCCAGAAGCAAATAGAATTCCCAGAACCCATTAATAGTGAGAACAGGAGACCTAGCTCCTCTATTGCGAAACATATTACAGAGGAGACAGGACATCAAAATGACGTCAACATATCTTTTAAACCTATCTATAAAACGTGTTTGGGGCGTATCCTAAAGTTTGTGGAAGCCTTAGGTAGCAATTAGAAAGTTTAAACCACCTTTATGCGTTCAAAGTAACAATTCGTCATCACACTAAACCACGTTCCTTGGTAAACTTTGTTTTGATACCAGCCAAGGTAGATGTACTATTACCTCTGTTATTTGGTTCAGTGATCTTCATTGTTGTTATTTTCACCTTCGGTACGTCCTTTTAACCTGACCTAAATTTATTTTCTCACCTCTTAACTCTTTATTAATTTCATATACATATTCCTATGACATGTCCGTGGAGTGTGATCAGATTGTTCGAAGTGTGTTGCGCAAATACACATTACACGATTCAGACAAATTACGTCTTCCTTCTTATTGCTTTATCTATATTCATAAAAGGGAACTAATTGTTTTAAATAAATTTAACTGGTAATAATAAAATATTAATAAACAATAAGATCAACGAAGATCAAACGTTAGTCTGGAGGAATTTTAACGATTACAGGTTTAGTCACCAGCTGATATAATAATAATAATAATAATAATAATCTACTTTATTCCAAAAACAGCACTACTTATAATACAGAACGGAATTCTCAGAATTTGTCACAATATTGTATCTGATTTACTTAAAATATAAATAAAATTAAAAATTAAAACAAAATTAACCAGAGGAATTTGTTCACGTTTACGATATAAAGTCAAAAATATTCGAGGCATGAATTGAAAATATTCAATATAATAATAATGATAATAATAATAATAACTACTCTGAGTATGTTTCAGACAGTATTTTCGATTCAGTTTGGAAATTTTAGCATGGTATAGATTATTGGGTCTAATGTTCTGTTGATATAGCAGTATGGTGAGGGGAAATACAAAATTAACAGTTATAACACAGCTTAAATGATGTTCACACTTATGAGAAAAAAATAAACAAAAACAACAAATTGAGAGGATTATAAATATAAGAAGTACAATAACAATATAGGGTGATGTTGTAAGGGTGAAGGAAAAGGTTTATTTAGTAGTGCAAAGAATGTTAGTTAGTTAGTTCATGCCTAACACTATTTTCATCACATAAAGTACGTGCCGCCAAATATGGTATAGTGGAATTTTTATACTTAGACGTACGTGCATAAAGTCTTCTGAAAAGTCTTCTTGTTTTACCTGAGGAGACACTAGGTTGGAGCTGCTGGTGGTGAGGTGGATGCTCACAGTCTGACAAAATTCCTTTAGCAAATTTGTTCCATGATATCAGGTGCCTATCAATCACGATGTCAACGATGTGGCCCAATGGGATACCACTCGCCCTACTGACAGTCAGTCTTCAGAGTTCTACGAAGTATGAAATAGTCTTTTTTTAAGCAATCCAGGAAAAAATAAGGGTAAACAGTAAAGAAGAATAGGTAAGATGCACGAGTTGACAAACTGTAATAGTAGGGGTTGGTTGAGTTATGCCTGAGTGCCTTAACTTTTTAATGTAAAATGTCTGACGAAATATTTTTTTAGAAATTGCTAAGACATGACAAGACCAGGATAGGTCAGTAAAAAGAATTAATCCGAGATACTTAACTTCAGACTTTGTTTCTGTGTCAGTATCATCAATTTTGCAACGGTCATCAGTTAGAGAATCCTTGGAAACCACCACGGATTACTGGATTGTGGCTCTATATACACAGGAAGTTACCTGGAGCGGGGTCCATCAAGCCAGGCAAAAGAACAGTTATTCACAGATGATATTCGCTGGTTGGTTGCGCTGCACATATATAGTGAATTGGAAGAAGTTGGAATTCATACACCATTGGATTGGGGCACAGTCGCTGAATCGCCTATGAGCTCGCTTTGTAACCAGAAGGTCCTGAGGTTCGAACCCGGGCTACGACAATAAGTTCAATTATATTTTTCTCGGAACTTTTGTTAATCTCTTATGTAAACAAAAAAACATACGTTCCTGGTACCGAAGGGTCAGTATTTTAGTATTTAGCTTCTAAATTACGCGCTGTAGAGTATAAAAGTTTACTACAAACATAACAAGGCAGAAAATGTTGAATAGAGAATAAACAATAAAAAACAAGATTCTCATCATGAGCTGACATTAGTTAGCGAACCACTGGAAAACCTGCTAGGGATTACCGAACAGCTGTTCTGTCCTTGTTTGGGACTCTTCACAGTACGCACCCACCGGGATTCGAACCCAGGACCTTCTGGTTACAAGGTGAGCTCGTATACTATTAAGCCACTGGGACCCGATCCAATGACCCATGAATTCTAACTTCTGCCAATTCACGACATAGCACGGGGTTCGAATCCCTGTGGGTGCGTACTGATGAAGAGTCCCAAACTATGACGAAACAGCTGTCCAGTACTCCCAGGTTTTCCAATGGTTCTCTAACTAATGTCAGTTCATGATGAAAATCCTGTAACCAATCAAATCCCTACAAACCAACACCTGAATAAAAAACAAGTTTGATTAAATCAGTTTGGTAGACTAATTTTAATTTTAATGTATTATGTAAGTTCATGAAGTTCAACGGTGGTCTGTTTAAATCACTGCGCTACCACCTGCTAAGTATAATGCATAAACTACATTCCTCTATTTTTTCCTTTGATTGTTTTAATCATCTAATCATGTATTTGAATGCCCGCCATATAAACTCGCGCACATTTTTACTTTGCTATCAAAAGCAATGCAGAGAGATACAGAGAGAGAGACAGACAGCACTTCTCAAATGAAATGAGGCGAAAAAGAAGCATCATAGAGGATTGTATATTGTTTTTTATATGGAACAATACAGTGTCAAACAATGTACTTCCAAATACTACTTTTCCTAAAGAACCTGCATGAAGAGTGGATATTTTCCAATTCATATACGGTTAAGATTGTGTACTATGTATTAGCATACTATTTAGAATAAAGCTGTTATTATTATATAATACAATTAACAATAATGGAACCCGATTGGGAATAGATAAGTGGGTTATCAATGCGAAGGTGACACGAAGGAGATCAGAGATCATAGGCAATCGTGGGGCTAGCTAAAGAGGGCCGCAGAAAATAGAGTAAAGAGGAGACGTCTTGTTGAAGCTCTGTGTTCCACTTGAAACCCAAGGGAAGAATAATAAATAATAACCATATGATATAATCACTTTATTCTAAACACTAACAGTCATACAGTATGGAATTTTTTTAGTTTTTGCACATATGTTGCATGTGCTACTGACAAGATTTGTCAGTAGTATATAAAGAGATGTTCATTGGCACAAAAATATTAAATAGCACAGATTAATATGTGTGTAAAACTTGGGTACTGTGGTAGTAAGTAATTCCACATTAGTTTGTTTATTAGATGTATCACACAGTCAGTGAAACAGTATTATTATTTACTGGACGACAAGGTTTCGAACAAAATTTATTATTCATAATCATTTCATCAATTATAATCACACGACCTCGAAACTTGAGTTTTATAGGTTTCTTTGTCTTCTCCTATTTGTCGTCGTTGAGGTAGTAGAATTTTCCAGATATCTGCGTGGAGAGGTGTTGAATCATTCCTATTACACGTATTCTTTTCAGTTGATTCGATTAACAAGGCTTCTGTTATCAATCTCTCCCTTCACCCTGTTACATTAGATTTTAAAACTGTCATCTTATCCCATCCTGTATTGCATGGATGTGTGTGATTGCATGTAGTGCTATGGCTAACCTATTCTTATCTTATTCGGGTCAACTGATCTAGACTTTGCTAGGCTTTTATGCTTGGTCAGTCTGACTGCCCTTGTTCTACTACTTTAACCTGTGTATTTGACCCAAATAAGATAAGAAATCTAGAGAATAGTTCAGCTATAGCACTCACTGCATGCAATTGCACACAACCATACAATATGATGGTGTGGTGAGAGCTGTCTACTAGCCAAATTGGTAGACAGTAATTCACGTCAATATTTACATTCCCAAGATTTGTCGTGAGAAAATGTGAACAAAGATTGATTCAAAACCGACCACAGCAGACTTTGCGTAGGCGGATGCAGTTAACATATAGAGGATTTGACATTCAAGAAACAGTCACAAATAGATGAAAGATTAACTTTACGTGAGAAACAACCAATCGGAAGACTGTGTTTGTTTACTTAAATATCCATAGTAATGTACATGAAAATATATAAATATGCGTTGATTTCCTTAATAAATGATCTGTTGCCTGACCCTTGCCTTCTGTTGTTACATTTGGTGTCGCTGCCTGTTTCCAATAAGTGACAGAGCACAAAATCTATATAGTACCAAGGAAAATCTAAGACAGGAAGTGACACAGATAAGAGAAGCCTTCAAACTTAGTAATTACCTTGATAAATTAGTCAGAAAGTATGTAGGGAAATGTAGAAAATAAATTATAATAGTAGTGATAGCGATAATAATAATATTAATGACGACATGTATGTCAAATGTGCGCAAGACAACACCAACGAAACGGAATCTAAATCATCAGTAGTAATTCCATACAAGGAAGGAACCTCGGAAACCACCCTACGGCGTAGAATTCTTAACAAGGCAGGAATAAAAGTGGTCGGGATTGAATTAGAAACAAGCTTTGTCGGTTAAAGGATCAATCCTGTGGAGCCTTTAAAACAAAACAATTTAGTTTATCTAATACCCTGCCGGAATGATTATTAGGTCAAATACATAGGTCAAACTAGTAGAACAGGGGCAGTCAGACTAGCCGAACATAAAAACCTAGCAAAATCTAGATTAGTTGACCCGAATAAGATAAGAAAGCTAGACAATAGTTCAGCTATAGCACTCATTGCATGCAATTACACACAACCACACAATAGGATGGGATAGGATGACAGTTTTAAAATCTAATGTCACAGAGTGGAGGGAGAGATTGATAACAGAAGCTTTGTTTATCGAATCAACTGAGACTGGATACATGTAACAGGAATTATTCAACACCTATCCACACAGACATCTGGAAAATTCTACCACTCCTACGAAGACAAATAGGAGAGGACAAAGAAAACTATCTAACTCAAGTTTCAAAGTCGTGTGTGATTATGATTGATGAAATGATTATGAACAATAACAGATTGTGTTCGAAACTGTGTCATCCAGTAAATAATAATACTGTTTCACTGACTTTGTGTGATACATTTAATAAAAACACACTAATATAGAATTCCGTTACCAAGTTTCTTGTCTTTTACCGCTACACATGTATGCAACAATTTAGCTCCTTTTATAAATACATAATACATTTATCTCTTCACACAATACCCGTGAATTTTCACATTTCGCTGTACGAGTACAGATTCTTACGAAATGTCATCCGGTTTCATCCCCGAAGATAAACACAAGGAGAAAGTTGCTAATAGAGAGAATGTTCAGTATCAGACAAGATAACTTTAGCCAACTGCTTGAAAGAATTATAAAATGCCTATCGACACCAAGGTCATTTTGTCGAGTCAAAGGCACATACACCACTAACCCCATTTACAGACTTCAATGTTCTACGTAGTAGACACAAATGAACTGAAAGCAAAATATATAGACGTTTTCAGTTCCTTTGGTTTCTGAGTGGAAAATAAAGCTTCAAGTCGTGAGCTTTGTAGGTTCAGTAGTCATTGTGTTGTCCTTTTTTGTGGGATGATGTTGCTAATCTCAAACCAAACCTCTCCCTTTCACCGGGTGCTTACCATCGGCTAAGTAAGGTTTAAGGAGTAAGTCGTCAGGTATTCGGACAACGATCCCAGTCTGTCTGTCTGTTTTCAACATAGAACTTTGCACCGGTGTACAGCAGTTCCAGTCGCCACACTTGACTCAGCACACAAAGTAAGAGAAGTAAGTAGAAGAAATGCAAAACAGAGACAGTAGACAGGGATATGAAACAAAAGAAATAGTAATAACGACGAACAATACAGTTTTATTGGGTATTATAAGTCACAAGGAGTGGATGCATCTGCACCAGCCATTGAGAGCGATCACTTTGAGCCATATCACCAATTGTCTCCAGCCATTGGTGTTTACCGTCCCGAGGACCCCAACTAGTCAGGAAGTCTACGCATCCCTATGTGACTGGCTGGCTTAAACTAACTGTTGTGGATTTCATAGACTGATGAAGCAGTGTTTAGGTCTGACCACCACTGGCTCTTTTCCAACCTGATCCATCTTATAACAGCTGACATTGACCGTCAGACAAGAAAGGCGATGGCCGGGTTAGGCATACGTAACACATGTCCTAACCATCTTCTTAATCGATGCAGCTGCTTCACAGCCTCGTCGATTGATTTCCCCTCCTTACCCACTTAGCAATCTACTAATGCCTCACCTGAATATTGTTTACCCTACTATACCACTTCACACAGGAGATAAAACGCAAGCACATAGGATCAAAGACAGCTAGTCTTTTCATGTCCTCCACTCTCATAACGATTCCAGTACACCTCTTGCATGCTAATTACAAAAAACTCAAAAATTAGAAATAACATATTCCCTAATCTACAACTTATATATATATTGGACAAATTATGTTTATAAATCTTTCGCTATGATGCATTTCATTTCATCAACATCAACGGTTGGTGAGCCTACTGAGATTTCTGATAAACCATTAGACTTCAGTGAATATTTACTAGTGGGTTTTTTATTCCTTCACATTCTATGTGGAACACGAAGCTTCAAGGTAGGGCTTTGAAGTTTCTGTAGCAGTGTTTATTTTTACAGGATGGGTTTGCTAGCCTCATGCCCCCCCCAACCTTTCCTCTTTACCAGCCTTATTACTGGCTTAGCGAGGTAAAGGAGGAGTGCGTCGGTGGCCGGGGATCGAACCCCAGACCATGTGCATGGTAGGCGAGCATCCTAACCGCTGTGCCACCGACGCACTCTACTACTACTGGGTAGTTGAATAAAACATAAGCCCAGTAAAAAAATGTCGTAACAAAAAAATGAATGTGTAGCAAAATACAGAGGGACAACAACAACAGATAAAGCCATTTAACTACTTATAACCATCAAGTGACATCACTAGACAAGCCCTTGAGTGGAACCCGAAAGGGAAGCGGCGAGTTGGTCGTCAGTGCAAGGGTGACTTGGAGGAGGTCATGTGAAGAGGAGATGAAAACGTGTGGGCAGACATGGAGCCAGGTGAAGACTCTAACAGAGAACAGAACGCAATGGAGACGCACGGCTGAAGCCCTATGTTCCTGTAGGAATTAAAGGATATAATAATAATAATAATAATAATAATAATAATAATAATAATAATAATAAATAATAATAATAACTTATTAACAGGACATACTTTTATCAGCATTGAGCATCGATGACAATACCAAACGCCAACAGGTGCTTCATCAGGATCTAAAGGTGGATCCAAACATTCCAAATGAAAGCTGGCCGGACATCGATCACACACAAGTCGTTCGCCTTCAATACAACCACAACTATCACAATACTCGTGACAATTAGCTCGTGGTTTCTTCCAGAATGGATCATTTCTCGCCAGTGTACCACGAGGTAGTTGTTGTTGGTGATTAGCAGCTACACTGGGTGTGCTTGTTTCTGTGCTGGTAGAAGCTGATTCATTATTTTTACGTCCACGACGAATTGGAGGCTATTATACAGAGGAAGAAAAAAAACAGTATACATGTAATAATAATATAATATAATAATAATATAATAATATATGTCTGATTTCCCACAAACTGGAAGATATGCAAGTGAAAAGTAACAAGTTAGCAGAAGAAGCATCAAAGATAGGACTCCAGGTGAACATAGAGAAAACGGAGGTGATGAAGATTCCTGGCCAACACCGACAGCCACAGCAACAACAACAACAGACAGCAATCAGCATAAATGGAAGGAATTTGAAAGAAACTACCTCCTTTACCTACTTGGGAAGCATTGTTTCAACTACAGGCCAACGGAACTGACGAGGATATCAAAGCAAGGATCGGGAAAGCAAGGCAAGCTTTCATTACTCTCAAGTCTGTGTGGAGGTCAACAACATTCAGCGTCAAAAATAAGATCGGGATTTTCAACTCCAATGTGAAGTCAGTACTACTATACGGATCAGAGACTTGGCGTGTCACAAAGAGCACCTCAAACAAGCTACAGAGCCTCATTAACAAATGTCTTCGCTCAATACTCAAGATCAGATGGCCGGAAAGGACCAGCAACAAAGATCTCTGGGAGCGAACCAACACAGTAGGAACCGATTGTGAAACAAATAGGCAGGAAGAAATGGAGATGGATTGGCCACACTCTGAGGAAACCAGCAAGTGACATCACTAGACAAGCCCTCGAGCGGAACCCGAAAGGGAAGCGACGAGTTGGTCGTCCAAGGGTGACCTGGAGGAGATCATGTGAAGAAGAATGGGAAGCGTATGGGCGGACTTGGAGCCAGGTGAAGACTCTAGCAGAGAACCGAACGCAATGGAGACGCATGGCTGAAGCCCTATGTTCCTCTAGGAACTAAAGGAAACAGTAATAATAATAATAATAATAATAATAATTTGCTTTATTCCAGAAACAGTACTAGTGGTACAGTGTGGAATTTTCAGCACATATCTACAATATTTGCATCTAATTTTACCGACATTTAAAATAAGTATTAAGCAAACAAAAAAAATAATAAATCTGAAGACACCAACAGCAAAACAAAAACAGGATAAACACAAAATAATTATAAATGCGAAATAGTACCAAAGTCTACCAAGGTCTAATGCAGTGTTTGTGGTGGTAGTGTGAGTAATCCTGAATAATACAAAATTGTTTTTTTAAGCTGGTGACTATGGCGTTCACAACCAATGATTGTCAGTTTAATATTGCCGAAAAGTATAGAAAATAGGGAAAAACAACCACAAAACTAATAGTTACATGATGGTTTGTGACAGGACAATTTTGTAATACTCATAGTGCTAATAGAGTCGGAACCAGTGGATACACAATAGAAGGAATATAGTAAAGTACAAAAAAGGAAGCCAATGTTAATATTTTAGGTAGCTAAGCATGTTTGAAGAAGGAGTTCACTAAAGAATACAAAATAAGAGAGAAATAAAAGAGCCTAAAATTATGTTGTCAATAACAAAGCAAGTCATAGGTTTCACGCTTAACATTGTCTCTGTCGCTTAGAACACGGGCCAAGTATGGTATCGTTGAGTTCCTGTACTTGGTTGTACGAGCATAGATTATTTTATACTGATTTATATATACTGATTTTATACTGATTGATGAAAAACAAAATACACTTTTTAAAAACTTACCATACCAAGTGAGCCTTTTTTACCATAGGTTTCATTTGTTGGTGGAGCGAACAGGGCATTTATTTCATGCATTAAACTTTCTTTATGCGGTACATTATTATCATTAGTCGACATGTCTGAAAATTAAGAACAATATACGGTAATAATTGACTGCTAAAATACACACACACACACAGAAGGGAAATAATTTTTTATATGTTAAAAAAAACTCATGGAATACATTGTAATCATAAGGTCATGTAATCGGTAGGCTGGCTAGCTGGTTTCAACATAGAACTTTGCACAGATGTTCAGCAGTTCCAGTCGCCATACTTCACTCAGCACACAAAGCCACATAAGAGGAAGAAAGTAAAAGGAAACGCAAGGTAAAAAGAATGGTAATATCGAAGAACAATATAGTTTTATCGGGTTTTGTAAGTTACAAGGAGTGGATGCATCCGCGCTGTTATTGAGAACGATCACTTTGAGCCATATCACCAATTGTCTGCGGCCTCCATTGGTTTTTACCATCCCTAGGACCCCAACCAGAAAGTCGACAACTTCCTACGTGGCTGGCTTGCTTAAACTAACTGTTGTGGATTTCATTGACTGGTGAGGCCATGTTCTGGTTTGACCACCAATGGCTCTTTTCCAACCTGACCCTATCTATGTCAGCTAACATTGACCGTCAGTCGAGGAAGGCAATGGCTAGGCTAGGCATGCGTAACACATGTCCTAACCATCTCAGTCAATGTAACTTCACAGTCTCGTCTATTGATTTCCCCTCCTTACCTAGCACTCGATGGTTATAATGTGTGTATGTGTGTGCCATACAAAATAAGTTTGTCGAATATGAAATTATACCCTACAACAATCCTCCCCCCCCCACCAATTTCTACACCTACATTATAGAAATGCTTATGATAAGGACTTAACTTTACATTTATAGAAGACAAATTCATCGAATTATTAATATACATGTTAAACTTCAACACGATGGTAGCATGTGATTCCATGTCGATCATATCAACTGCTATAATTATGAAGAATGAATCGTGCTCAAAGTATCACCCATTAAACAATGCTGCTCTACTGTGTGATATATCCAGCAAGCAAATTAATATGGAACCATTGACTGATTCACTGAGTTTCATCAACCCACCTTTGCACAGAAGCGCAGCAATTCAAGTTTCCACACTCCATGTAGTGCACAAAAATAGATAAAAGAGAGAAAAATAAGGTCTAAAAACTGTAATAAGCAGAAATGTGAGGGAGAAAGAGTAGTAACGTGGAAAGAACATCACGGTTCAGTGGATATTAGAGATAACAAACATTGGATGCATGCCCCCCTTCCCCACTGAGCTATATCATCAATAGTTTCCAGCTCATAGTTCGTAACATCCTAGAGATCCCAGCTAGGCAGTCTACACCATCCGATGTGGCTGGTTGAAACCAACTGCCAAAAGCTTGGTGGGTTGATTGCAGGTTTCTGCCTTACCACCCCCAAAATCGTCTCCAACTTAATCTTCAGTCAGCTAACATTGCTCGTCTAGGAAGGCAGTGGCTCAGTAAACACCTTACATGTCCTACTTATCTCAATCGATGTGGCTTCACAACTTCATTGACCGACTTTCCTTCCTTACCTAACAGTCTACGCCTAACATCAATATCACTTACCACATAATGTCACGAAAACACATACGTGGTCGAAGACAGCTAGCTTTTTCATATCTTTCACTTTCAGTTGCCAGCTCTCACGGTCACAGAGGGGGACAGAGTTAACTGTTGCGCACTACACACGTTCCTTGATGGATAGCTAGATATCACGTCTACGCCAGAGATGACGTAAGTCAGCAAATGCCACATGGACCTTTTGTTTCCCTTCCGAGATTGCGTCATCAATCAGTCCACTGGGGCTGATTCATCTTTCCAAATAAGTGAAGTGGTCAACACACTCAACCACATCCATAAACTAAGGGGTCAGTGGAACCATATTTGTTAAGATGTGGTACGGCTATCAAACAGTCCTATGTTTCTGTATTCTCACCCTTAATCCGTTGAATTTGTGGCCGATTGATCTTATCAGCCTCAAAATTCAATAAATTAGCTGAGTTCAAATCTCATCCCATTTTCCGAGGCTCAGACAGTCATGTGCCCAGGTGCATCAACATACACGTGATTATTGAGTAAATACTATTCGCATACTATTTGATTCCTGATATTTGGAGTTGATTAGTTAAGTGCTACTCTGTTAACTTTCATGTATGCCAATGTCCCACACTTTTTCACTTTAATGCTGATGAAAGAAACCCTGCCTTTAAGTAATCAGTTTTAGTTACCCTGAAGTTGGAAACACGTTCCCCTGCCATGCTTTTTATTGAGTGACAATACGATTATTTTTTTAGATAGAAAATAGGTTGAAATAACAGTTGACTCTTTCATAATCTACAAGTTTATTTGATATAATGCACAATGAAGCAGTATTAATAAAGTTACTCAGTTATTAATACTGCATCACTGTGTGATTATTATTAAAATAAACTTATCTAATATGGAATTGTGTGTCGGTGGCATAGCGGTTAGGACGCCCGCCGACCGTGCACATGGTCCGGGGTTCGATGCCTGGCCAACGCACTCCTCTACCTCGCTAAGTCAGAAATAATATTGATAAAGAGGAAAGGTCGGGCATGAGGTTAGCAACCCCATCCTGTGAAAATAAACACTGCTACAGAAACTTCAAGCCATTAGCTTGAAGCCCTATATTCCACTGGGGAACGTGAAAAGGAAGGAAACAAAAATATGGAATTGCATTCTATATCACAGTGCTCCAGTCCTACACAGACATTAGTCGACTCTGCCACAAATAAATCACTTCAAAATCGCAAAACTTCTGATTAATTGTAAGGGCGGAAATTAAAGAGAAACAGAGTAATACCAGTTAACTAGAAAATAATGTAGTAGAAAAAAAACAATAATCAGGTCAGGGTTACTAAGAATGTTGGAAACGAAAAGAACGAAAAAAATAATAAAGACATGTACGCCAATGCAAAACACGTCAATAAGTTCATGACCATTAGATCTCTTCGAAAATTGATGACTAAACTGCAGTAGCACACACGCCTTCACATGTTCCAGACCAACAGTTCGTGAGATCAGAACATATTTTCGTTTTGTTATCTTTAAGTCTAATTCATGTAACACTGCTCATTGACAAAGGTTGATTCAGTATGCATAAAGCATGTTCAAAAGACGTTATCTGATGAAGATGCTCAGACATCGACTAATTTGCTTATCTTCTACACAAATATGCATAAACATTACGAAACCGATGATTTAAGACACGCAATCGCCTGACAGTTTCTACTTCCGTCGATCACATGTTACCTATTCTTCAATAGATATCTGATTTTCTCATTGTTTAAAGAGACGATAGTACTAGACGAGCGACCGTTCCACCAGTGCTGAGAAAAATCCAATTAACATAATCCCTATTTTAAATAGTGATCAATGGTGAAGGTCTACCTTGTTACTTGTACAGTCAAATGCTTGCTCAGTCCAATAACCCGAAACAGTTTAACAGAACTACTCTTGATCTCATCCCACCAACTAACACCTCCGTAGAGTTAATTAACGGTTTAGAATCATAATCCCTTAACAAATTTACATCACAGAGTTTCACAGTCGGAATGTATATGTTATTTAAGCTGAAACTATAAACGATAAGCAACTGAAGAGGGGGCAGTTAGTTAACAGAACTACTAGTGAATGTTTCTTCATCTATCCTGAGAAATTACTAGAAAACTCGTTCTGTTTGCTCACAGATAAATACATGGTCAAACTTGTGCATGATCAGAGTGTACATAAATATAAGCAACATACTACGACTTTTAATGACTGCCAATAATAATAATATAACTTGTGCCTGTGGTTGACCTGATGTCGGGAGTTGCCGAGTGTATCTTCCCATTCTAAATTCGGCTAGTAAATAATTATAGGTGAGAATCAACAAACGTAAGACAATATCATCATCTTTCCCGGCTTATACAGACTAGTCCAACCATACAACATGTTTGTTACCTTTTCTGAGGTGTTTCAAAATGCATCGAAATGAACTAATGCACTAGAATCATTACAATCGAGCTGAAAACAAAAGTATCAGAATTGATTGAATTTTCAACGTAGAACTGTGCAGCCATTCAAGTTGACACATTTCATAAAAGCATACAACAAAGGCAAAGAGAAAAATGGACACTAAGTGTAGTAAACGGAAGCGTACTGTACAAAGAATAAATTTGTGGAGAATAATGAAAACTTAACAGGACGAGGAAATCACAAACACTAGTTGTAACTTTTCCATTAAAGAACGACATATTTAGTACGTCACCAATGATTCTTACTAGCTCAAGGAGGTCAGCCACGCAGTCAGCACCTCCCTATGTGGCTTAAACCAATAGTCGAAGACTTCATGTTCTGATATCATGTATCCACTTGAAGACCCTAACTCTTTTCCAAACACTTCCACGGTGGGGGCAGCCGGGAAGTAACAGTCGCCCTCACAATCCGAAGTGCACGCGAAACCTCTCTAATCCTCACTCATCTTTGTCTTCATCTTCATCTCTATTATCTTGCCTTCCTTCTACTAATGCAACTCCTCTACTTAATGGCTCTTCACTTCCTCTTCACTCTGTGTGCACTGAAAACGACGGAAGCCAAAAAACCTTTCCAAACAAATCTTTTACTAGATAACACTGCTCTATGTGTCCTGGTATGCATAGCATATGTTTTAGCCATTTCAACTGATAAAGCATTACATCACCAATTATCTACCTCTGCTTACGCAACACTACACTTAACGCGGTAGAACACAAACATCTATGGTCAAAGAAAGCTAACCTTTTCAAGTCTTCCACTCTCATATGCCACGTCTAAAAGCTATAAAGGAGAGATTGAAGTACTGAGAAACACATATATCCTTGGATCGTTGGAATATACTTTTTTTAAGAAGCAAGCTGGGGGTCCCAGTTATCGTGTGCGAGTTGATTACTCAGGCTGACTTCAGCGGTCAGCTTATTAGAGCGGATGAAACTGCAAGTAACTGAAGTGGTCGACATATACACGCATTTCACTCCATATCTTCAAACTAGGAGTCAGTGGACATTAGTCCTGTAAAATCATCTTACATGTGACAGAGGCCAAAAAGAAACTTTTAGTTTACAGACAGCATCTAATACAACACGATGTCTACCTCAACCCTTACAAATTCAAGGGTACGAGCACCTAGAAATATATAAATATACTGCGATATTTAAGGGGATCAAGAGTGAAATCACAGAACACTCTTCGGTTGTGATAATTTAACTAGCACATGCTCAGTCACTAGGATAGAATGAAGAGAAATTAATGCAAGGATAGTGATATCTTGGCAAATATTTTAAGCACTAAAGAGTATCGTCTGTAAGTCGTATTCAGTTAGCTGTCTTCTAATATGCTTTACATTAAGACAATGCACAAAATAAGACAAAATTCAACAACACTAAGGGGAATATACAGAGTAAAGTGGAGTGCACAGTTATAAAAGTAATGCTTATCTGATATTTTTCCATCCGGTTATATGTCACAGCTAGTCTGCTGGCAGTTCGACTGAAGCACCTTGTTTTCATCAAGGAATACTTCATCTTTATACCCTGAAGACTACTACGTGCTCTAAGTCTTACCAGTGGTGTTAAAAACCATAAGGAACAAACATTCAAAATAGTACAGCTTACCATCTTGTTGAAATAATCAAACTAGATCACCAACTTTGTGTTAGGTGGGAACTAAGGAACCACTTGGCACCAATTTTAAATAAACTCCAACTTAAATTCGTTAAGACAAGTAGTCTGATCGATTGGCATAGTCAGAAGGCATAAGCATTAGGATTATATCATTCTGACACACCCTATGGTGCCTGAGTTCTGTCTCCCGTGTGAAGTGGTATAATAGGGTGAGCAATATCGAGGTTAGGCGTCGGTCGGGCGCTAGGTAAGGAGGGGAAATCAATCGACGAGGCCGTGAAGCAGCTGCATCGATTGAGATGGTTAGGACATGTGTTACGCATGCCTAGTCATCGCCTTTCTCGACAAAGGGCAGTGTTAGGGTCAAGCTGGAAAAGAGCTAGCGGCGGTCAAACCAAAACTTGGTCTTATCAGTCAATGAAATCCACAACAGTTAGTTTAAGCCAGCCAGTCACGTAGGGATGCGTAGACTTCCTAACTGGTTGGAGTCCTCAGGATGGTAAGAACCAACGGAGGCCGCAGACAATTGGTGATATGGCTCAAAATCGTCCTCAATGGCTGGTGCAGATGCATCCCCTCCTTGTGACTTATAATACTTAATCAAACTATATTGTTCTTCGTTATTACTATTTCTTTTTGTATCATGTCCCTGTCTACTGCCTCTATTATGCATTTCTTCTACTTCCTTCTCTTGCTCTTTGTGCTACTTGGGGTGTGACAACTTGAACTGTTGCACATCAGTGCAAAGTTCTATGTTGAAAACAGACAGACAGACATGGCAGAATCACTTCTAAATGCAATACACTTTTCATTATTGAAGACGGTGTTGGTCACAAGATAATAGTACATGACCGCAACATGGCACCACAGAAAATGTATCATGAAATCACAAACGAGTTGAAAACCTTAATATAGTTAAAGATCACTCCAAACTGTAACATTTTTCTATTTTGCATTTCTTTTCATTCAGCTTGCGAAAACCCTCTCGTTTTTCTTATAAGTGATTCTGGGATGAGTCCAAAGTCGCTAATGAATAACAGAAGTTTGCAGAGTTATGTGACAGAAATATACGAAGCTTGTTTGGCATATGTAAACAGGTATGTGCAAATAAAACAGAAATAACTGGACAAGAACCACGAGAAATATACTCAAATCACTGCAATTCAAAACCTGAGAACATATTCGTCTTGTACACATTATTTAGTCTAGGCTGACTTTAGGTGGCTTCATGCCCTTAACTGGAATACTATATATATATATATATATATATATATATATATATATATATATATTTACTGGTCCAGATGTACACATTCCTGGATAGGACAGCCGACTCAGTAGGGAAGGCATTAACATACCAACATTCTTACAATACCTGAAAACTAGGACAAGAAGTTTACGCAGCACGAAAAATAGCAGGGGATTTTAGAGTGAAATTTGTGACTAACATTCCCGAAACATCATTTTGGGTTAATCCGAAAATGGGATGATGTTACCAATTAATACCAAAAAAGTTGCTATTATCAGGATGTATGAATAATTTTTATAAAAAATAAGTAGTATTCCACCCTGAATCCAAGTGCAATACTCTTCAGTATATTACAGAATGTATTAGCAAAAATGAAAATTCCGTAATGCTTCCAGTAAACATCAAAACCTAATAAAACGTTTTTAAAGTGTTAATTAAAATTGAACAAAAATATTCTTCGCAATCTATATGGTTTCCAGTGGCATAACACAATTTTTATTGAGATAAAGTACCTAAGAAGAAGAAAACTTTTCAAGGTGAGCGCCAAAAATGACCTATTTTGTTCATTCTCCACAATCAAATTAACAAGAAACAAACTTCTTTTAATTTCTTGTGGTAAACAGTAGCTCAGACGCATATTTCCGGAAACAGCTACTAATAAAATCTCTTCTCAGTTTCATTAATAATATCCTATGTTGATATCGAATATCTTCGTGACAAGTTAATAAGTGATGGTATTCTTATGGTTTACCTCCAATATCCAATATCCTGATTACGAGCTAGTATAAACCAATGATTTCTTTGAGCTCGCTTCTTGATTGTAAGGTAGAGGTTCAAGATCTTTGGTGAACTTATGCGTAGTAAATCCCGCCACTCGACTGCTTTAGCTCTGGTAGACTCCAAGAGGAGCGGTGCGGGGATTGGTCAAAATGTGGTTTGTAGTGTGCAGTATGTTAGGGCTGAGTTGCTGCCGTGAATGGAGTTTGACCTAACACCCGTTGGTCATTCGGTGTAGTCATAAAAGCAGAATAGTAATAATAATAATATAGGTTGTAGTGTAGATAATATAGGTTGAGATAAGTGAAATAATAAAGGTGATCTAAGGAAAAGATAGAGTAGTCGGTACAGTGAGAGAAGACAGAACGGGTCATGGGGATTTAGCTTGTATGCTTATCCATTGACAGTGTGGTTTCAAATTTTAAGAGGATAAGCCATTGAGACACAAACCTTGCATTTCTGCATGATTGTCCAGCTTCCACTTAAAAGTCTCCGCAGATGGCGCTGTAGTCACGGCTGCCAGTAAAGCGTTTCAGAGACGGCAAACTCGAAGCGAAAAGAGATGTGGACGCACTCGAGTCTTTGGTCTCTGATGTGTTATCCTTAGCGGGTTACCTCGTGGAAGCCTATAATCACTTAATGGTAGAATGCTTTTATTAGGGTGAGCCTGGTCATTTAAGATCTTATAGACGGTGATGAGGTCTCCCCTGTGACTACGGTAACTAAGTGTGAAAAGACTTAATTTCTTCAGTCTCTCCTCATATGATTTGTTGCGGAGGCCGATCACCCATTTTGTCGCTCGTCTCTGGACACTTTCTAGCATGTTAGCATCCCTTTTGAGTAGCGGAGGAGCAATGATATTATGCACCTCAAGGAGTGGCCTCACGTATGTCGTATACAACGTTAGGAATAGTTCAGGAGTAAGAGCTCCCAGCTGCCTATGCATAAAGTGTAGAGTGGCGTAAGCTTTGGAGACGTCCCTCGTGTAATTTACACTGGTGTCTAGCTTTTCTGTTAAAATAAGACCTAGATCGCGTTCTGATGGCGCACAACTCAAGTTCTGGCCACCAAAGGTGTAATTTGCACTCTGTGACCTGCCGGAATGAAGTTGCACTACTTTGCACTTCTTTAGGTTGAAAGGCATTCCGTTAGACAGAGCCCAGTCTCCCAGAGTTCACAGGTCAGCCTGCAATCTGTCGGAGTCTTCCGATGAGTTTATTGCTCTCCAAATCTTTACGTCGTCAGCGTAAAGAAGCGCAGAGCAATTCAGTTGACAGGGCAGGTCATTGATAAAAATCAAAAACATCAACGGCCCTAAGATAGAACCCTGAAGAACCCCTGATGCTGAGGTGTGCCAGGATGATCGGATGCAGCTGACTTTGGTGCAGAATTCTCTCTCGCCTAAGTAATCTTTCAGCCATGCGAGAAGTGCTCCAGAAACACCCGCCTTGCTTATTTTGTGAAGGAGCAAACCATGGTGAACTGTGTCGAATGCTTTCGCAAAGTCGAGAAAGATCACATGGACTGGTACCTTTACATCCCAGGATAGTGTCCAGTCGTTCCAAGCTAGTAGAAGATTCGTCACACAGGATCTTCCCCTCCTGAAGCCGTGCTGTGATTCATGGAGTAGGTTAGTCCCGTCGAAGTATTTTCTCATGTGGTCGTCAGTGAGACTTTCCAATATCTTCGATATCACTGGAAGTAGCGCAACTGGTCTGTAACTGGTCGCGTTCTGCCGGTCACCACCCTTGAAGATAGGGGATAGGATGGCTCGTTTCCATTCACATGGAAGTTTCCCTTCATCAAAGGAGTGTTGAAACAGATCACTTAGGGGTTGGCAGAGACTTTCTGAACACTGCTTCGGGACGGACGGTCTTATGTCATCGCAACCTGCAGACTTTCCCGAAGCCAACCTTCCCAATTTTACGAGTACCATAGCCGGGGAAATTTGAAATGTACATAGCAGGTTTTTGCACGTTGGTTTTGCATTGTAATCTTGATGTTTTGTGGGGGTAAAATCCTCGTTACTGTTTAGTTGCCCGTGAAAGGCTGGACCGAATGTTTCTGCCATTTCAAGACTAGTGAGAGATTTCCCATCAGAACCCACTAGATTGCAAGCTCCCTCGTTGTTCGGTTTTCTTTCAGACATAAACCTGTATAGGCTTTTGGGGTTCACGAGAAGCTTATTGGCGAGGTTTCTCTGAAATGTCCTTCTATCACTCCGGACTCGTATGTTTCATCGATTCCTGAGTTCAAGGTACACTTCATGTTCGGGTTGACTCTTTGATAGTCGCCACACAAACCAGGCTTTTCGCTTCGCCTGCAGAAGGCTTGTGTCCCCCTTTTTAGCCACGAACGTTGCTTCCTAGCTTTTGGCGTGACTAAAGAAACAGTGTCTGAGACCGCCTGGTGAATGATCTCCTTTACCACTCCCCAGTGTTCTAATATAAGCTCTGGCCAATTTTCTGGCCAATTTGCTTTAGACAAAAGTCTTCGCATTTCGGTGTAAGTGGCTTTGTTGTAACACAGATAGGGCTGTGTATTGTCCCACTGTAAACGCTCGTGGACGACTATGTCGAACACTATGACCGCGTGGTCACTACTACTTACGGGAGTCGTGATCTGAACGTTTTCCACTAGTAGCTGGTCACTAGTGAGCACATAATCCAGTCTAGAAGACTTCCCATCTAGGCCCCATCCCGTATCCATTCTGACATTTTCAGTGAATCCGGCCTCCCTGATGGTATGCAGCAGATTTCGATCAAATCTATCATGGGCATATCCCTTCATCAAGTTAAGAGATGGGGCATTGAAGTCGCCAGCTATGACAATTTGATCATAACCCATGTCTTGTGTCGCTGAAATTGTATTCAGCAGTACCTGGTTGCGGTCTACTCCACATAAAGGTGATCGATAAATGCTGCCCACTAGATATTTACAGTACCCAACGGTGAAATGGCACCATATGGAGTCAGGGGGCTCAATGAGGGGAGGGTCCATTGCGTGAACACATCTGAGCTGTTTCCCGACGTATATGGCGACTTCACCTCCTCCTTTCAGATCCCTATCTCGCCTGACTAGGACCATACCATTTATACTGACTTCGCTGTCTGCCACCGTAGGGGTTAGCCAGGTTTCCGTCAGTATTATGATTTTGGAGTTCATCTGTGATTGTAGGTATCTAAGTTCAGCTATTTTGTTTCTTAGTGCTCTCATATTACTGTACAGACAACTGGTATTCAGTCTCACCACGTCCCCGTACTGGCGGGGTGGTTGACGTGATGTGGGCTGTCGGTTGAGGAGTATTCCTACGAACTAGTTGGCCAATTCCCCGGGACCCGGCTTGTTGGCGTTTTTTCTTCTAGTTCAATCGGAGCACTTGGATGACACTGGCTATCATCGTCCTTGCTGCACAGCTGTATTGTGACTAAGGGTTGGAGATTTTCTTTGACAACGCTTTGTTCTCTCCTTTGGATACGAGGCCGACTCTCGCAGCAGCGAATGTGTCTGCTGACCTTGTCCTTGGTCTCGTACCATCTCTGGAGAGCAGTGGTCAACTGGTCTCGGGAGCTGAACTTGACAGCTAACAGATGTGGCGTGTTAATTGACATAAAGTGAGTGGGTCGAGGCAGCCTATAAATAGAGACAGCCCCTGAACTTCCCAGAGCCACCTGGGATGCCAACCATCTCCATTGCTGTACATCGTGACAGTGCTTCTCGCAAGCGTTCCCAGTTACCAATGCGGGAATGCCGTGAACAACCATGGAGGCAGAAGGAATAAGCTCTGGCGACTCCCTCGCCATCTGTCTTTCCTTCCATGGCCTATCTGGCCTAACACGTATATTGCAGGCCCTCCCTATAGAAAGGACTTGAGAAGTCAGTAAAACTTTTCGACATCCTCGGTAGAGCCCAGTGTTACCCTCAGTGGGGATGGTTTGCCTTGAGGAGCAGCAGTGCCCCTATACAATCTGCATAGTTTTACTGGTTGGATGTCCAGACCCAGTGTGCTACACAAGTTGGACCACTGTTCCTGATCAAACAGGGCCCTGTTTTCCAGCAGACTACTACTACAGTCTGGTACATTAAAGAGGATTACGCAGTTTGATCTACTAACCGTGGACTTAGGTTCAGTCCTCGCACATTTGTCATCCCCTTTACCTCTAAAATGAAATTTTCAACGAGCTGGTGTAGAACGCACGCACTTCTTTGCGATCGTTAGATGTTTGTGGGGTAAAATTTTAGATCTTCTAAGTAGTTTGTACTGTCACTCGATAAATGTAGCCATGAAAGGGAGGTGATAATGGACGTTGGTTATGTGTGATTTACAGTACATGGCATATCAAGACCGCTGTGGTTGAAGTCACTCTTCTGACCCGTTAGTCGTCCGGTATCATCGAAAAGGGAAATAATAATACCATTAGTGGCTAGTATGTGAACTTAAAAAGGAAAACGAAAAAACAAACAGATAACTAGTTAAAAATAATGGCCCTAGAAAAACGAATGAAGAGACAAAGTCATCAGAAGTATGAGGCAAGGAAGATTGAGCAGGGTGAGATCTGCTGACACCTACTGATAGATTGCCATTTAGGAGGGTCCGGAAAGTCTAGTTGGAAACATTTTCTATAAATTGCTACATCATTAACACAGTGATACACCCATTGACTGGGTATTGGTTTTCAGGTAACCAAACACACACATCCCTGCCTCTTGCGAGACATCATTAACAAGCGACTGCATAAACCTAACCACTGACGGTGCAAATGACGCAGCTGCTGGTAGAGAGTGTTATGGGCAGTTTACTCAAAGCGAAAATAAATGGGGACGCGTTCGATTCCAGGCCGCTTGATGTTCAGTTTTGTG